TTGGCCCTGAGATATGATGGTGAAAAGAAAACATATGTTTGGTTGTTGACAAAGGAAATAATATTTTAGCGTTGGGGTAATTGAACTCTTCCTTTTATTCTAATGTGCAGTGGAGACAAGAAGCATCAACATATGACGTGGACGATTGTATAAATGATTGGGTTGTACGTATTGAAAATGGATAAATTGATGCTATTTTACTAATGGGGGTAAATGAAGCATTGTGGTTTATCCTTCAGTCAAAGGCTCAATGGAAGTTATAACGGCTGGAATAAAGTAATCTCGTTATTTTTTTTATTAACTAATATAATATGCATTTAATGACTACTGGTATAATTGTAATAACTTCTTCTTGACATTTTTTGCAATCATATTATTTGCTGTGGAAATTGAGCTGCTTAATTTATTGGCGACTTCACTGACTGATCCACCATTGTTGTTGCAGAAGGAGGGTACGCTCAATTCACTAGAAATTAGACTTGCAGTTATTCCATCCAATACTTTAATGATCGAGAACCACTCTTTTACATCGCATTTTTGTTTCATTATACTCTCATACTCCAATAAAACGTTATAGAAATCACTGGGCTGGATGACACCTTTGTTGACTAATATCGCTTTTGCAAGTATTTGTAATATTTGAGAACCAAGTTTAGCACCAGATGTTGCTTCAACGCCATATCCATCTTTGTTTGGTAAGTCACAAAGAGTGAACACTGTTGCCAGCAAGTAGATACTACTGTCAAATTCTTGCAATGTAGATCTCCATAGTAAATAAGATGAGCATTTGCTGAAACTCGATGTAATTTGTCTCAAATTTGATATATTGACGTGTAAAGGATTTAATTTGAAGGTCTCAAACATTTTTAAAAATTCTTCAACTTTTGATTTCATCAAGTAGATTTTGCAATTTGAGTCCGTGATTGAACCATGACCAAACTCTACACCAGGTCCAATGTTGATTTTAGGTTCAGTTGATATTTCAGCAGAGCAAGTAATCAAAAGGTTGACGGTCTTTGTTCCAATGATAAGCTTCAGTTTCATAGCACCACCATCCGATTTTTCATATGTAGTACAGGACATGTGATTCTTGTATCTGGAGGATTCGCTGGGAACAGAGGATTCAGTTGACTCGGAGTGTATATCAACTGAAGAGTGATGGCTGTACACTTCGCACGTAATAATAAGTAAAGTGATGCTATCGTGAAGCAATGCACTGCAGAATAATGGTGGTATTAATTCAATCAATTCAGATCTGAGCCGGAAATCGTAGTTTAGTAAGTCTAGTACCATCGCATCAATTTCTTGATATGGCCCTAGCTCCTGCAAGAGTTTTGGAACAGTAGAGGTGCGTACAGTCATTTCGAGCTTGGCAGAGATACAAGCACTGTCTTTTAACACTGGTTCGATTGTATCATTTGATGAGAAAGAAACCCTTCCGTCAAAAATACCAGACGTGATATTATTTTGGAAATCAATCAAAGAAGTAAGACTAAGGGCAGAATCGTTTGTCATCAAAGCAAACGTTGTTGAAAGCTTTGTACGTTTATTGCAATCAAATACCTCCAAGCTGAATGGTTGACAGTCCACAGAATGTACAAAATGATGTGATCTTTTTCTTTGACTAACAGTTTGACCTTGCGTGCCTAAAGCTTGCTCAGAACCTTCTTCAAAACTGAAGGCTTGCGGGTTCTCCATTGGTATTTTCCTACAGTCTTGACAGAGCCTTATTTTATTTCTTGTGGAATGAATGGGCTTAAGACATTGCTTGCATTTCGATTTTGGTACCGTCAACATGGCTGCAGTTATTAAAGTTTGTAAAGAAGACTTGTGTTGTCTCATAGAAAATATAAAAAGAATAAAAGTAAAAACAATAATAGGAATAAATTATAAGTGCTGTAAGGCGTTTAATTATAATTTCCAAATTGAAGATCCAGATCATGAAGATCCAGATCCAAATGGGTTTGATTATGGGTTTGATTTAAGAGGAGGGTGGGTGAAAAGTGTACAAAGAACAAGAACGCACATAATTTCTGTCCTTTTTAATTATCTTCAAGCTTGTGGCACTTCACTTTGCCTTTTGCCGATGCCCAGAACTGTTCAATTGGCTCTTTTTAATTCAAGGGCAGTTTTTTTAAACCCAAAAGGCGCCTTTCAATTTTTCAAATTTCGGTTTTTCACTTCAAAGTTTGTTTTATTGTTTTAGAATCAAATAGTTATATCTTTATTAAAAAGCTTTATAAAGGGTCTCCGCGCAAGCAGATATCAAAGCAATTACCAGAGTGTTGAGCAAACGCATTCAAATGCTCGGGAGGGATGTTATTGCAAGCTTCAGCGATACGAGTGGCTAGATCTTCAGCATCTTTAAACGAACTTCGTTTTACCTTATTTTTGACAATGGACCAGAAATTCTCTATTGGGTTGAGCTCGGGGGAATAAGGAGGGAGGTAGATGCTTCTGTAACCTCTTTCAGTAATCATTTCATCAATCCGGTCAGCAGTATGTATGGGCACATTGTCCATCACAATATAATGGCCTTTTAGTTCTGGATACAAATCCATTTCATCCATGCACTTCTTGAGAAACCTAACGTAGTGACCAGTTTCTGTACCCCCAGATTTTTTCTTTTTTTCAGTAGGTGCTTTTCTTTTACTACCACTGTGAACAATTTTAATTCTCTTAGAGCTTTCTTCTTGAGGATTACGGAGTTCTATAGCAACAACAAACTTTGTTGATATGGCGCCTAATACAGTATGAGACACAGCTTTAGTGGTTGGAGTGGTCGTAATAGCGGGTGTTCCTTTTACAGACCATTCGCTAGGAGGTCTCATGTTTCTATCAAATGCAGACTCGTCCACGAATACACAGTTTTCCAAATAATTCATATCAGTAGCAGTCCACTTGATGACCCAATTTTTACGAGCTTGGATCTTATCTGAATTATTTCTAGCAACCGGCAAGTGTGTTAACTTCTTAAAAGAAAGGTTGCACTCATTCTTAAGAAAGTTGTGAACAGTACTTTTCTTCACAGTCAGATCAGAGAATTTTTGAGTGAGTGATTCCATTGCATCAAGCACCTGTGCTTGTGGACAATTATTGTAACATTCTAACAGGTGAACCTTATGTCTCTCATCCAATTGTGGTTTTAGTCTATTGACCAAATTGGTTTGTTTTTCAAATATGTTCCAATCCTTATCCTCTTTGAGTTTCTTGGCCCATTTCTGTGCTGTTCTCTTGGCTATGCCGCCTGCTAAGCACCCTGACTTAGCTGTGTTAAATAATTTAATTCGGTTATAATACACAAAAGTGAGCTTTTGCTCGTTTGAGTATTTGTGATGAAGTCTTTTCTGCTTCTTAACTATAGCTATGACTTCCTCCATATCAGCATCAAGATTTCCCAAGGAATCTTCAGAGGAAACCCCCTCTTCCTCTTGCTTTCTACAATACTCTGTGATACGAGTCAGAGTTCTTAAGTGAAAAGGAGTAGCTTCCTCAACCCAGTCTATTGCATCGTTTCCTTCCTCATCAACCAATTTTCCCTGGCCGTCTTCATAATAAAAGCAAGTAGTCTTCATATTTATTTGAAAAAAAAACGAAGTTTAACAAAAAGAAAAGGTCTAAAAAAACCGCCCTTTGGATTATCGAAAACCGCCCTTGAATTAAAAAAAGCCGCCTTTTGGGAATTGAAAAGCCGCCCTTTAGAAATATTTATTAACTGCCTTTTCATTTAAAAAGCCGCCTTTTGGCGTTGGAACAATTGTATATTTTTTTTACACTACAAAAATAAACTCAGTGCTTGATATACACTACAGCAGATTTTTTTGTGTAATATTATTCCTTAAAAGGATTCTTGTATATGGGGCCAATTTTGCCCATAACAGGAAATTTATTTTTTGGGGAGCTTAAAAGTAGGGGGATGGGGGAACTACTCTCAGCCAATAGATTTTGATTAAAAAATGTATTGCACAATTTCAAGAATGATTCAAATTTTTAATTTGTTTAAAATAATTTTGGGTTGTAAAAAAATTATTTTTTATTTTCAAAAAAAATTAGGCTTAAAAAAAAGCTAGACTGGACCATATAATCCACAAGCAGTAGCACACCAATATATCTATACCACTAGAAATACTAGTAGTATAGCTGTTTGTACTTATGCCTGTAAATTACTCAATTGGATTGGTGCAAACTACTATGTCTAGCTAATCCAAGAGACCCAGTGCCAGAAATGCCAATAAACTCAAAAAGCATAAAAATTTGAATTTCAAGAAAAGCTAAAGCAGAAGAGCTAATAATTAGTAATTAAACTTAGTTAAATATATTTAACAGAATTTTATCTTTGACTATACCAAGACATTTGCAATAAAAGGCAGCCAAATCTCTGCAAGTAAGGAGTAAATAGTTAGTATTCTGTTGCTTTGTAAGAAAAACATATAGTTATTATCTCTTTATTGATTTACCGAGATGATGAAATACTAATTTATAAACTAGAATCGTATGATTAATAAACACAATGACATAAAAATCTTTGATAGCATAAATACCTTTGAGCTTATGATCTTTAAGCAAAATTCTGCTTTTATAAATACTATAAACAGACTGGAATATCTTACAAATGGAAGCTCATGCAAATAATAAATATTTTGTGGAAAAGTAAAATGAAAAAGAAGACAAAAACACGTAATATTTTTTTAAAAGAAAAGAAGTAAAAAAAATTCTAATTGGTCCGCTGACATTAAATATTGATCTTTGCAAAAATAATTGAATTTATAAAATGTGCAAAGTCATTTTCCCCCCTTTGTTTTTACAATCAATTTACTATTATGCAAAAGAATACAAGACAAGAAACATATAAAATTGTTAAGACTCACCCCCCTAAAAGGCAAGGCGAACTTAACTTTAGCATCAACTCAGGTGTTTTTATCTGCTCTAAATGCGAAAAAGAGTTCAAAAAGCCTTGGTTACTGAAAAGACATTCAAAGGTTCATTATATAAGTAATCAAATGACAACCAATACTGTACTTGACAAACCTGAACAGGCCGAATTGATAGTCGATAACACTATTCTGGATGCTAATGCATTTGATTACTCGAGTGATGAAGATGACTCCTTCAGTATTGGGGATGAAGAAGACAACATTGTAGATGAGGAAAACAATATTGTCAATAATTTCTTTGATATTGAAATGAACAGTAATCCAGTTTTCAACGCATTCTCTGACATGTTTTCTTCTGCTGCTGCTGCTGATGAAATATCAATGACTGATGATAACTCTGAGATCCCGGAAGAAGTCTTTGAGACAATTGGCACTGTAAATGACCCTACAAGCTGTTATCCTTTTTGCGATCTTCAAACCATGATCCTTTTTGCTTTTATAAATGGGGATAATGACATGATCTCCCAGCAAATGTTGAAGAAGATACTGCTTGCAATGAACTTGATCATTAAGATCCAGCAAGAAACTTCCATAGGAAGAACATTTAAGTTAACTTGTTTGGATGCTCTTTTAAATTATCAGGCAAGAAAGAAGTTCAAGATGCCTGTCTTTCCTTCACAAAGAATATCAGTACCTGGATCAAATGGGAATGCATTCACCCATATTAACCTTCCATCCGACCACTTGAGATTTCTTATGGCAAAGCCAAAGAAATCCAAGTTGATCTTGTCCATGCCTGATTGTACCCCAAACCAATCGATTTGTTTGGAACAAGGTGAAAAGTGGAGAATTTACCATCTCTTTCAGCAGCCTATGCACACTGTAAATGGTATAGATGTCTGATTTGGAAACATTATTTACTTGAAGATAAACGATTGCAGAATCTGTTTTTTGGTTGAATCATTCCACATAGCAAACAAAAACATTTTTGCAAGAGAGTATCTGGTCAGAGCAATTTGGATTGTATGCTATGGCGTTGAGGTTGCTGTTACCAATCTTAGAGTAGAGCAGATCTCTCATGTTGACACCACTCCTGTTGAAAGAGATCACTACTACAGTATCTCAAGTAGCCTTATCAGATTGAGTCCTGCTCATGACTTTCTCCTTTTTGGAGTTCATCCAATGGAGAAGCCTATGCCTCTTTCTGTTTTGCCCGGTAATGTAGATTGCGATGCAGTATTTTACAAAGTTAGGATTGTTTCAATCATCCTTTTTACAAACGACACTTCTGGCAATTGTTCAAAGCAGTACATTCTGTTTGAAAGCTGGTTAATGAGATGCGCTGCCTTGCCTTTTAAGGATCGAAATTTGATAGCAAATATCCAGTTTCTTTCTACAATCCCTAAGAAAGATGGTACAAATGGTATGTCTCTTCTGCCAGTAATCGTTGATGACTTTAAGAAACTCAAGAAAGGTGTAAAAATGTTCTCCACTGAAGACAATGCATATGTTCTGGTTGTTGCTCCCATTGTTTGGATTGAGGCTGACATGCCATATCATTTGGAACTTTGCAGATTGCTTGGGCCGGCCACCATATTTCCTTGCAGAAGATGCTACATCAAACTTAGACATGCAAAAGACTTTGTGAAAGACTTGTTCTACTTCTGTGAGTCCCATGAGAGACGAACTCAAGAGCACTATGTTCTTGCAAACTCGACACCTGACAGAGACACTGAGATCCCAAATGCTCCAAAAATTAGAAGGAACACACCTGCAAACGAGATAAGCTTTAGAGATTGTTCAACTGGCCGCTTATTAGAATTGTGGTCGTTTGATCCAGAAAAGAGCAAACAGTTCAATAAGCACATTTGCAAACATCTGTTTCATACAAACCGCTAAAACACTTCCAGAGATGTTTGCCTAAAGTTTGCAAAGCAGGTAGCATTACAACATGTAATTGACAGTGGGTTGTGGATTAATAGCTCTGGCAACTGAAAGAAGTCTGGAACTGGAATAGAGAGGTTCATTAAGGACAACAATGAATCCTTGTTCTATTACACCTTCTTTGGGGGCTTGAAAGAGCTAAAGAACAACAACGACTCTGGAGATATTGAAGATGACGCCATCCAAAACAACAGTTTTGACGCATTTGTTTTTAGAGATGATCCAATCTCTCGTCCTTGTATAGAACTTGTCTCAGGCTCTGTTGTTAAGTTTCTTAGCATTGTTCCTCGTATGGATAATGACAGAAACAATAACTATGTTAAGACTGTAATGACAGGTGAGCATTCTGATATTGCTAACATGAATCTCGTTTGTAAGTTAGATTTGCACATTTTCCACAACCCATTTTACATTGTAAATTTGAGCAAGTTCGGTTCCTACTGGTTCATTTTCAATAATATTCTTTTTGATGAATAAAATGATGCAACTTCTTTATTATTATTATAATTATTATTTGAACCGTCTGTTTTCTTCTTCTCAACATCAATTTTTTTGCATAATTTTTGTGAAGTCATTTTTTGGTTACTCAAACCAACTCTCAACTTCTCTTAACAAATCCTTTGTCTCACTTGAACACTTACTGACTTACCTAACAGTTTTTTTTCTTACTTTAAAAGTCCACAAGTAGTACTGAACTTAATTTTATCCTTTATTCAGATGAAAAAAAATGAGTACAAAAACAAATTACAATATTTTGGCCTCTAAGCCAATCATATTTCTTAGGTGCCAATTTTCACCCAAAATGATACCAGAAATCTCTGGTGATGTAGTGATATTGGCGGATTCAAATTTTATCACTATCCCTATATTAAAAAATAGTGATAATAAGCAGACACAGGCCCAAATTTCAAAAAATATCAATATAGTATGTGCTCACAGAGTGAAGTAACAATCGATCAAAAAGTGATAATCAACCAATTTTGAAGGATCTCAAGCCTAAATATAGTATATAATTTTTGAAGTCCACAAAAAATGTTCCTGGTAAACAGCAGAGACAAATTATTTTCAAATATCATATATGGTATTTAATTTTGATTGCTATCAGTACAGTATGTGAGAAGTATTATTTTATTATTAATTTTCAGTCTCTTGTTTATCTAACATATTCTTTTTTTTAAATATCATCCAACTCTTTCAAAATCGTTCTTGTTGATCCTTCCCAGCCTAGACAACGTGGGCGGTCTTCTCATCCAGCTGCTGTTACTGAGAGCCATGTTGAGACTATTGATAAAAGTATTTCAGACAATAAAGCAACTGGCATTGGTGGAGTTGAAGATGATGCATCTGATTCCAATGTCAAAGAAAGCTCATTGGAGTCAACGAGTGACTGAATCTGGTGCTCTGATTCTATCAGATTGTTCTTGAAAGTCATCTTGAATACTGACATATACAATGAGATAAAATCTGCTAAAGGACATATGCAAAAGATTGGCTATATTTGCGCTAATTTCTTTCAGGATTTTACAAATGATCCAGAATTGGATGAACTTCCACATGGATTCAAGTCAGCAATAGACAGTAAAAAATGCAACTGCAAATTGAAGTTATTGAAAAAGAATTACAAGAAGACCTCAGACAGAGTATTTACTTAAACTGGACTTGAAGTTATTTGCAACCATAGGGCTTGGCTGAAGAAATGCATGAGATTATCTTAAATAACCCAACCTTTAGTATTCTAGCTTTATATTCAAGTGCACTAAACTTTCAAGAACCAACAATTACTTGCACTGCACCAAGTGGAAGAATAACCAGGAAACATCTTGGCTCTTCCCAGCCTTTAGAAGTCATTGAGGAAGAGATTACACCATCTGAAGAGCCTCTAATTGACATTCCTACTTCTGTAAACCACTCTGTGTTGCCCCATCATGCTCAACAGCTGAATAATAATAGCTTGAACTCTGTCTTAGATGTTATGGCTTCATTGCATACAGCTATAAGAGAAGAAATACGACTCTCCACTCAGAACTTTATGGAGTCATATTTAGATACAACTGAAGAAAGAGCGGAGAAGAAAAGAAGGGTTGATGAAGAGTTTGAGATGTGGGCAAGGCATACTGCAGCTTATGAGAAGGATGTGGAGACTAGAGCAAGAGAAGCTGCTAGAAGGGAGAGAGAAGTGGAGATAAAAGCTGTAGATCGAGAAAGAAAAGCAAGGAGAGATGAGATATTCCTTTTAGAACAAAAGAGAATGAATGATATTCTGGCTGGAATTGTACAGCAAACTGACAAAGATAACAACACTTGGAACAATAGTGTTGTGAATGAGTATTGATTACTGCTGAATCTGAGAGTAAGACTGAAGAATAAAATAATATCCTCAGCTATTCCAGTCAAACGGATCTGCCTTTATTATATTATCTAATACACAGATCATCATACGCATAATTGATTATTTATTATTATCATCATGACATGGGATATACAAATACATATATATTATATATATGACATCATTATATTTCATCTACATTTTTGTTTTATTTTACAAATACTTAATTGAGAGACTATAACTACAACTATTTAATATTATGAAACATTACCCAAATATTTGGGTCGGAATACTAAAGTATTACTAATAGCATAAATGTTTTTCTTTATCAAAACTCTCAGACTGATCTGACTGGAGAAGTATCATATCAATTGGTCTTTCCAAATCTTTCCTGAAGAACAATACTCCTGGAAGATGACTCATCGGGATAAAGATTACTTAAGCACACACTGAATTATAAATTAGAAAAACATATAAATATCAGTAGATAGTTCCATGTAGAAAAAGAATTGAATTTTATTATTCTTTACTTTTCTTTTGAAATAAACAACCTACACAAGTTCTCACAAATTCTTTTGTCTATATTGTATTTTGCTTTATTTTCTCCCCACAACAAATAGTAATGGTGAGAATTAAAATAAAACGTGTTTTTGTTTTTATCATTTTATATTATGGATTTGAAAGTATCTCAGTTAATATTTAGAGAACAATTAACTTTACAAGCTATTCATGACTTCATTTCGTTTAATTATTCTCTGCTCTTTAAAATGTCTCAAACGAGCATTGAAACTCCTTGCTGTTGAAAACTGATCTACTGAAAGAGAATGTACAGAAAGTTCGGCTCTGCCATTTGTATCACTTTCAAGGTAGACACATATCTCTGCTTCTTCTTCTGCATTCATTGCTATACTGGCACTATTATCAATGCACAGATTGTATAAAGCATAGCATGTGTTAATAACAAGAATCATGTTGTTTGTATTTAACAAAAATAGATGCTTGTATATTAATCTCCATCTGCACACAAGAAGAGCAAAGATATTCTCAATTTTTTGTCTAGTTGAGAATTATATTTTATTATACTGTTTGCAGTATAATATTTCATTGTCAGTAACATTGAAATTTCTTTCTGAAAATGGTATAAGAAGTTGAGAAAGAAGAGGGTATGCCAAATATGTTAAGCAAACAGTTAATGTAACTAATAAACAGATAATATATTTCATTTATCACTTTGTACTAATCTTTATATACCTCTAATTATGTAGGTACCATTAAGGCACAATTTTCTTTCATTAAATATTATGCTCTTGCACTATGGGAAAAAAAGAGGGTCTACTGAGGGTTCACTGGGGGGCTGCTCAGGAGGTTGCCCAGGTGAGTGTTTTTTGCCTACCCACTTTTTCACCTTCTGCCTGTTATGGATTATCGTATAACCCCGCTCATTAACAAATGTGAAGTTTTATTCAGTTACCGATACACATTTTTGTAATCTATATTTGACTTTTTATTGGTGCTTATATACGAAAGCCTTGGTTTATAATTCTCTTTTATTGGGTATTAAAATTTTCATTTTAACCTTATATCTAAAACGATTGGTCACTTTACAATTCATATTCACTTGATTGGTATTCATCTATATAGAGCTTGGACTATTAATAATTTTAATTGGATTAAAAACATATTTTTCACCAAATATTTTTATAAATGAGTACTTTATTGGTTGTTGGAATAGAAATAAATTTTACAGAACATGGTTTATTGGTTGTCAAAACACAAAATAGTTTATTGGTTGTCAAAACAAAAAATGGCTTATTATATATAGATTATATTGACTAAATATAATTTTATTCACTAGACTCTATTGATAGTTGATATTTTATTATATGATACCTATCAGGCACAGACTTACAATCTACTGTCACTTTTTACGGTTTTTCCATAATTGGCTGACCTTTGCAACAGATGCCCAGTTTTTGTGGCATCTGGTAAAGTCTATACCATTGCTTCTAAGTAGACAAGCATGTCTGGTGCACGCCCAGTTCTTGTTCTCTTGAGAAATTGTACTCCAGTTTGGATATTGTCCCAGAGCTTGCACAGAAGGAAGAGTGGCCAGCTCATCGCAGACAAAGCCTGTACAAGAGTGAAGGATTGCCTTGTTTCCTTTATCCAGCTCAACCCCGAGATTGTGGCTCATCATTCTGTAGATATGTACCAAAGTTATATCTTTGATATTTGGTACTGGTCTTGGAATTGCTCCACTGAGATTCTGTATTATCTTATATTAGCCTGTATACTTTGCTTCCTTTTATTATTTCTTACATTATGTACTATTGCTGGCTCTGGGCTTTCTTGGCCATTCATATCTTTACAAACATTGGTTGAGGTATTTGGGATTGTTTATGGGTTAGTATCTCAATAATGGGAAAAGTAGATACTGTGAGAGTTTTATTTATTAAAGAGACAAAATAATATTGTTTATATCTGCTACTATTCAAATCCCTGTAATTCAAATCCCTGTTGTGTAATGGTTGGTTTACACTGTATGAGTGTGTAGTGTATGTGTGCCTGGTGTGTAACAGTTCTGGAGATTGTTAACTTGCCAGGTTCATTAGCAAGAAGGAACCAGTGTTTGGTTGTGGGGTCTGTTCTTCACTCAATTGTGGTGTGTATACCACATCAGTGATCTCCTGCCTAAGCAATGCTTATTTATCCCAGAGTGCTTCTTGACCTTTCTTGAGTGCGTCTTGTCTAATCTGAAGTTCTTCCTGGCCTTTTTGCAATGCAAAAAGTGTTTCTTGCATGCCCTGAAGTATCTGAAGAATTGTATAATCTGTATTATTCATTGTATTAGAAAAATCAGAAATATGGGTTTGTTGTGAAAAAAAGGGAAAAAGAAGAAGAAATTTTTTTTTCTAATTACTATCAGATTTATTTCGGTATATCTTTTGGTTTAATGGGGTTTATTGTTTTTATTATAATAGCTGCAATAACTACATACCACGTGTTATTACCTTTACGAGTCCCATGAGGGAGTTCAAATTATCTATATCATTGTCACCTTCAATGGATTAAGTATAAAGACGCGTATTGAGAAGATAAGTCTCTCTATTCTTATCAAAGTTACTCAATTACCTACTTAAAAATGCCGTCAATTAAAAAAACTCTCCCTCATAAATGCGGTTCTTGCAAAAAAACCTATAGTAATATGAAAATGGCTGAGAAGTGCTTAACCTTGTGCCTGAAAAATCAGTTGGAAAATATGAGAAATGCACACTTGTCTGCAACTCCTTTGCTTTCGATGCCTAGCCAGTCTGTTTCAGCTGCGATTCCAGACTTGATGCTTAAGTAAGTTTGAGAAAAATAAAAGTTAAAAAAGGCAAACTATGTATTAACAATATCAATGCTTCAAATAAACAGAGAAAATACAAGCACAATTAGTCATGAAAGCACTGATGGTAATAACAGCACTGACCTCGATGATCCCATGGTAAGATATATATATATATGCATATACAAATGCATTGTACTAATTTGATTTTGCGTTATTAAAGCGTGATATCGACTGTGAGAGTGAAATTGAAAGTAGCACCTCTTCCTTGATTTTCGATTTTAGCCAGCCTTCTCCTGTCCCGAGCAACAATGATGCAAAGAACCTGGAGTTCATAAAAGTCATCAATGACTTTGACATTTCCCATCAAGCTCATGAGAACCTTGCTGCGCATCTCAACAGCATTCTGGGGATGTCAACCTAGATAACGTACAGTGTGTACACCATACCTGGGCAAGGAGCTCTTGAAGCGTTTCTCTAGTGTAGAGGAAACAGTATATGACGTCTGCCGAAACAGATGTATGATGTTTAATGATGCAGAGGAGGTTGCTTGCAAGCATTGTGGTGAAGCTCGCTACAAAAGCAACAAAACTGATAAGGACGGTATACCCATTGTCAAGAAAACCATGGTTCAGATCCCTTTGGCCAGGCAAATTGTCCTTTCTTTGGCCAACAATGGTACCAGACATGAGATGCTATACCGTCACAATCACGAGCAAAAGGCAGATGGCAGCAAGGCAGACATCTTTGATGGGCATGCATACCAATCAATCAAACACCTTTTCTCTGGTGAAAACGATGCTGCAATTTCTTTGTCTGTTGATAGCTTTGCACCTCATAACATTCCCGGTTCGATTACTATTCTGCATGCCACAGTTCTTAATTTTCCTCCGATGGTCTGCTATGAGAAAAGCCGGATGCTACAAATTGCAATGATTCCAGGTCCTTCTGCACCACTTGACTTCTGGTCATTTTTGAAGCCAATCTTGGCAGACCTCAAGGTACTCCAAGAGGAAGGAATGGTTGTTGTAACCCCAACTCTCACCATCCGTGCAAAGGTCCATGTCCTTGTTGTAACTAGTGATATTCTGGAAGTGGCGAAGCTGGCATATCACACTGGTCATATGAGCAAAAGTGGCTGTTGAATCTGTAATGTTGTGGGCCAAACTCCTGACCGTGGCCAATATTTTAGATCTTTACCAGATACTACTATGTGCACTTTGGAAAGTTTCCAAAACTTTGATCCAGCAAGTTTGCCCAGCAAGGGTCTTGTAGGACAATCTTCTTTTTCTTCACTGGCATCATTCACAGGCCCGCTCTTTCTTACCCTTGACAAGATGCATGGCCTTTGCCATGGAATAGACAAACAGGTCTGGGGGCTTATTGATGGAAAATATGAGATTAAACACTCTCTGTTTCTTCCTGCCAATGTACTCAAGGAAATCGGCGTGGCAATGGCAGCAACAAGAAAAACAATTCTGACAGCATTTCATGGCTCTTGGAGAAACATATCCAAGTACAGTAGATACTTCAAGGCTGTAGACTGGGCCGATTTCCTCCTCTTCATTGTCCCTACACTGGTGGCCAAGCGTGTAAGAGATACAACTGCCAGGAAAGCATTGCTTGGACTTGTGCAAGCTTGCAACTTACTCATGAGCTGGGAGTTATCAGCAGAGAAACAAACCTCTATAAAAAGGTATGTTTAATAAGATTCAGTGTTTTTTTTCTTGCCACTTATAATTTTTTTCTAGAAAATTACAATTATGGAACATGTATCTCGAAGACCTTTATTGGAATGATAAAATAGAAATAATGGTGTTTACCATCAACCAGCACCTTCTACAACATTACCCCGTTATGATCAGTGCCTTTGGTCCTCCTTGTGCATACAGCACAAGATCAATGGAGCGTGCTATTGGCAAGTATTCTCGTGCCATCAAAAGCAATTCGGCAATTGGTGTGAATGCTGGAAACATAATGGTTAGACTGGCTCATACACGGCGATTGTTGACTGATTCCAATGGAGGCAAATGGAGAGATGTTGTATTACAGTACGAAGATATGTCTGCTGGTTGGCCAATTACTAGTGAGGGCGAGCATGCTGGTGCAGATTCCAATATTGAGTTCTGGAGACCTTTAGGATATAAAACAATTGATGATAGTTTCAAAGACATTTCTTGTCTTCTGATTCTTATTCAAGACTTTTATAGATCAAAGGGGGTTGAATGCGGAATGATTGAACCAGCTATAATAACTAGTCGCAAAGCTTTTATTAATGGCTGTGTGATTGACTTCTCATTTGCCCAAAATACATTAAGAGAGGTGCATCATGTTTGTCTTCAGGTGCAAGTCGATCTGTTCACAAATGTACGTTGCCAATACATTCCCATTGCAAAGGACTTCTTTGGAAAAGTAATTCTTTTCTTTGAACATGAGAATTCTGGTAAAAGGTGGCCTCTTGTTTTGGTGCTGATATATAGTACTGTATTATACAATGGCATTCCGGTGGTGGTAAATGGCCAGCTCAAACCAAAGGTAGTCCACCTAGCAGACGTCAAGGAGTTGGTTGTGTTGTGGGGAGAAAATAAAGCAAAATATAATATAGACGAAAGAATTCGTGAGAACTTGTGTAGGTTGTTTATTTCAAAAGAAAAGTAAAGAAATATAAAATTCGATTGTCTTTCTACACGGAACTATCTACTGATATTTATATGTTTTTCTAATTTGTAATTCAGTGTGTGCTTAAGTAATCTTTATCACGATGAGTCATCTTCCAGGAGTATTGTTCTTCTGGAAAGATCCGGAAAGACCAATTGATATGATACTTCTCCAGTCAGATCAGTCCAAGAGTTTTGGTAAAGAAGAGCATTTATGCTATTGGTAATATTTTAGTATTCCGACCCAGATACTCGGGTAATGTTTCATAATATTAGATAGTTGTAGTTGTAGTCTCTCAATTAAGTATTTGTATAATAAAAGAAATATGTAGATGAAATATAATGATGCCATATATATAATGTATATGTATTTGTATATCCCATGTCATGGTGATAATAATAAATAATCAATTATGTGTATGATGATCTGTGTATTAGATAATATCATAAAGGGAGATCCGTTTGACTGGAATAGCTGAGGATATTATTTTATCCTTCAGTCTTACTCTCAGATTCAGCAGTAATCAATACTCATTCACAACATTATCCTCCACCAGATTCAACAATACCTTTTGTTGATTCGGCAATAAAACATTTCATTTACTATTTCATTGTCTGGCCAATTGCTTATTTTATTATAGTCAATCATGCACATAATTTTTGTACTTTATGGAGATCTACACTGTAAACTCAGCTTTGTGGATTACGTGTTCATTTTTTGTTATTTTAATTTTTTGTTGCTCTTCTTTTGTGTAATCTTTCTTCTCTACTCAAAGTGGTAGGAAGTGTTCTTTTCTTGTGCTCATCGTTATTGTTACTTTTACCATTTAGTCTTGAAGTGTGAACTATTTTCTTTTTTGAGGATGCACTTTTGTTAATCAAGTCTTCAGCTCTCTCATTCTCTAAACGTTCCAACTCTCTAACTTTCTTCCAATATTTTTGTACAATTGTGGAATCGGTAAAGTCTTCAGCCTTTTGCCATGTATTAGCGCGTTCGCCATAGCCAGCCCATTTGACCAAATATTCTCGTTGACCAGCAGTACCACGATGATCTCGAATGTCTTCAACTTTGTAGAGCTCATTCTCAATTGTTGATTCATCGATGGTGACCATCTTGAGTTCTGAGGGTGTATAATTTTGGTGTAACAATTCACCTTGCTCATCCTTTAACTCATACGATCCTCCTTTATTCTTTCGAACCACTGTATATGGACCTTCATAAATAGGTGCCAATTTATTTGATCGATGTGGTAATCTGACCATAACGTGTGTTCCTTTGGGGATGTCGATTAGGATATTTTTGTGATCATATTTCTTTTTTAATTCCTCATTAATCCTTAACACACGTTCGTTAATGGCAGGGAATATAATATTTTTCATATGATCAATCTGCTTCTCTAGCTCATCAATTGTAACTGTGGCTTTTGGAAGAGAGTATTTATCTTTGTCACCATACTCATCAGGCACATTGACTCTGCGAGCATACATTAATGAAAACGGCGCACTTAGTGTTTTTTGAGGAATATGTCTATTGATACACAGCTGAACAATCGGTAGATAGTGACATCAGTCATTGCTGTTCGCTCTCATCATTTTACGTACAGTATTCTCTGCAATTTTTACACTGGCTTCGGCAATACCATTTCCTTGTGGGTGATATGCTGTCGAATATCTTCGATCAATCCCAAGCTCTTTAGATAGGCTTGACATTAAAGAGTTTCTAAATTCCAGACCATTGTCACTTTGCATTACTTTGGGAAAACCATAATCTCCAAAAATCTTTATCAATGCTTTAGCTATTGTTGTTGAGTTCTTGTTTGGCAGTGGTCTCAAGATAATGTACTTGGAGCATACATCAACCAGAACTAACATGTACGTGTGTCCATCCTCTGATACAGGGAATTCACCGCATAAGTCAATTGCAATATGATCAAATGGTCGGAATGCTACAACATTAGTCAATGGGTGATAGCCTTTCTTGCTAATATTGTGCTTCTGACATTCAGGGCAAGAACGAATAATCTCTTTAGCCTCTTCATATATATTAGTCCAGTGTAAGCCTTGTGAATGAAGATCATTCACTATAGCTTGACTTCCAAAGTGACCAAACGAATGTGCTTCTTTTAGTAAGCCATTACGCTTTTCTTCAGGAGGTGACATATAGTCGGACGACTCTGAAGCATTTTCGACGAGTTGCGTTGCAAGTACATTTAGCACTCTGTCTTTACTATATTTTTTCTTTTGAACAATAACTCTGTTTTTAGCTTGTAAGTCATTTGTTCTGATTTTTCTCAATCCATCATCCTCCACCAGCTTGTCACTATCCTCTGGAGGATACAAGCGGCTTAGCAAATCAGGTAGTTTATTCAACAAACCAGGAATATGGACCACTTTAAAATCAAAGTCAAGGAGTGTCTCAATCCAGCCAATCATCATCGGATTAGCGATTTTTTGAGTGTGGAGATAAATGAGTGCTCGATGATCAGTAAAAATTGTGAACTGTCGGCCCCACAGAAATGGACAGAATTTTTCAAGCGCCAAAACGACTGCATATAATTCTCTTTTAGTTGTGCTCCATCGTCGCTGCGATGGGCTTAAGGAAGTTGATACAAAGCTGATATATTTATCACGCCCTTGTTCATCTCGCTGAAACAATAAGCAAGCTGCTCCATAAAGGGATGCATCTGTGGCCACATACATTTCACGTGACATATCTGCGTAATGAAGAATTAAATCTTGGTGCAATATGTCTTTTAGTGCTTTAAAGCTTTTCGTCTGCTCATCTGTCCATTGACCAGACACATTCTTGGCATGACTCAAACGTGAAATAGGCTCAGCTACCTTCGAAATCATAGGAATATAATCTCTGAAGTAATTGATCAAACCCATGAATTGCTGAATCTGTTTCGCAGTTGTAGGAATAGGCCATTTGTCAACATTTGTCAACTTTCGCTTATCAACCTTGGTGCCTGTCTCATTGACGACAAAACCAAGCAATCTCACTGAATGTTGAAACCAGACACACTTTTCCGAGTTCAGAATCAACTTCGCGGATGACAATTTTTCAATAACTAATTTTACGTCTTTGACATGCTGTTCAAATGTTTCACTGGCAACAATACAATCATCAACAAAATTCTGTACACAGTCAATCTTATCAAATAAAGTAGCCATGACATGTTGAAATTGTGAAGTAAGCATCTTCAAGCCAAAACAGCCTTTAATAAAGCTATACTGTTGCCCATCTAAGTGAGTGAATGTCAGTTTGTGTACATCCTCAGGTGCAACTTTGAAACGATGATACGCATTGGATAAGTCGAGTGTGGTAAAGAATTTCTTTCCACTTAAGTTTTGAAATATTGTTTGAATTTTTGGAATTGGATAATTGAATGTGGGAGGTAGGATCTGATTTAACAATCGCACATCTAAACACACTCTATGACTGACAATCTCACCAGCTTTGTTTCTCTTTGGAACAAGCAACATTGGACTGTTGAAGGAAGTGTTGGTCTTGGACTTGACAATAGTTCCTGTCTCAAGCCATTCTTTTACTTGCTTGTCAAGTGTTGGTCTTAGAGCGTGCGGTATAGGATACTGCCGTCTGTAAGCCGTCGCACCTTCCTTAGTAGGTAAACGAATAATAGATTCTGATAAAGGACAATATGACTCAACGGGAATATTCTTATTTTCCTCCAGTGATGCTTTAATAGAGCTCATAAATTCTGCTCGTTGCTGTGCTGTGCCAGCTGGCGAATTATCAGGTTCAAACTTTTTCTCTTTATCAATATTTAGATTTTCATAAATGGCGGCATAGTCTTTTGCATTATCTGAATGGACATATTCTCCTTCAATATCATATGCAACATTAATTAATCCAATATTCATCTTTGCCAAAATATCTCTTCCAAGGAGGATATCAAAATTAAAACCCGTATTAAACTCTAACACCTCTGGTGCATGCTTAAAGGTGATGCCATTTATATATTTAAAATTTAAAGGATCAGTTTTTCCTAATCTCTTTGTACTACTATTCTTAGACAGAAAATTAAAGGAACCAATTGAAGAATTTATTTTTGTTATTTGTAAATTGTTATTTAAACATTTCAAATTTATAAACGTGCGGGAACTGCCTGTATCGATCATCCCGATTAACTTCTGGTTCTCTATTATGATTGGAGTTACAAGATTAAACGCATCATTAGCTTTAATTCTTCTCTCAATTCTGTCAAGTAGGTACTTACATTCAAATGATATTTCCTCCATGTCTTCATCTATCCTGTCCTGGATCGTCTTGAGCGTCTGCTCAGACTTATCCTTTGCGGGAGACTGGGATACCATGAGAATTGGCTCATTGTTCTTGCTTTTGCAGACATGACCATGGTAGTAGTTTTCACCACAACGTCTGCAAGGATTGCGACTGTTGGAACTACTGGCTTTGTTCTTGCGGTTGATCAAGGTAAAACACTTGCTGGACTCATGGGTCGGGTTTTTTCCATGGTGCGAGCAGAAAAATGTCTTCTCATGCTTGGTTATCTTGTTGGAATGGTGAAGCTTCTTTCTGGGATGTTCCTCGTTATTCTTCTCAGGTTGCCCACGGGAACCAGGAATCAATCGGGTCGCCTCAGCATAGAGCCTGTTGTCATCCCCAAGGATGTCTCTGCCGATCTGCGTGATCTGCTCTACAGTCCAATCACGCTTGGACTCCCCATTGGGACCAGAGCGGGCCATGGTAACTCTTACCAGTGTTTGCACTGATAAGGTCAGCGAGGCAAGGAAGCGATCAGCGATGCGAGCATCGTCTTTGGGTAAACCAGCATTGTAAACCGCACGGAGGAACTTCTTCGAGTAATCACCGATGGACTCAGTGTTCTTCATCATCATTGTAAAGACCTGGTCTGTGAATCGTCGAGACACCAAGCTGGAACCATGTCTTTTGTTGAAGCATGATTTCGCCGCCTTCCAATCAATACACTTCTTAAGATCCATCTCTACCCATCCGTCATCAGTGTGAGGCAGGCAAAGTGGGAGGAATTTCTTCCAAACTCTCTCGATGTCCAAGGAAGAAGACTCGATCACATTCTTGAAGGTACGTAGGAAATGTCCAACTGATTCAAAAACCTCTTCATTTGGGAAGGGCTTAATAATACTGGAGGCCAATTGGAATTTGGGAAGATCTCTTCTGTTGAGAGTCAACCCTCCTTCACGGCCAGCTCTCTCTGTGTTTGTACCAGGAGAGGCAAGCATCTCGCTGCACTTTTCAAGGCTAGTGATTGCCAATCTTGTGCGCTCGATCCTGCGGAGTGCATCATCAGCTGCTTGCTCATTGTTTGCTACATGAGCAGCGCTGAAGGCCTCGATGTGGTTGCCCAATTCAGCCTTGAGAACGGCCACACAGGAGGAAGCAGTTGCTACTTCTCTACCAACGGGAGGGGAACCAGAACCAGAAACGGAACCAAAACCAGGGGCAGCATCCGGAAAGAGGACGGGCTCACTCAAGTCAGAGAATAATTCATCCGCAGACATGGGGGACAAGGTAGCCTCCTCAGGAACAGGGGTCAAACCAGCGGGAAACAAGTCAGCAGGAGAGTTCATTGTAGTTCACGAAAAAAAATGTTGTGGGGAGAAAATAAAGCAAAATATAATATAGACGAAAGAATTCGTGAGAACTTGTGTAGGTTGTTTATTTCAAAAGAAAAGTAAAGAAATATAAAATTCGATTGTCTTTCTACACGGAACTATCTACTGATATTTATATGTTTTTCTAATTTGTAATTCAGTGTGTGCTTAAGTAATCTTTATCACGATGAGTCATCTTCCAGGAGTATTGTTCTTCTGGAAAGATCCGGAAAGACCAATTGATATGATACTTCTCCAGTCAGATCAGTCCAAGAGTTTTGGTAAAGAAGAGCATTTATGCTATTGGTAATATTTTAGTATTCCGACCCAGATACTCGGGTAATGTTTCATAATATTAGATAGTTGTAGTTGTAGTCTCTCAATTAAGTATTTGTATAATAAAAGAAATATGTAGATGAAATATAATGATGCCATATATATAATGTATATGTATTTGTATATCCCATGTCATGGTGATAATAATAAATAATCAATTATGTGTATGATGATCTGTGTATTAGATAATATCATAAAGGGAGATCCGTTTGACTGGAATAGCTGAGGATATTATTTTATCCTTCAGTCTTACTCTCAGATTCAGCAGTAATCAATACTCATTCACAACAGGTTGGTCTTGTAATGTCAGATGCAACAGATAGTACAACAACGACAACAACAAAGTATACAGTGTGGCCGGAACTTAACCACGGCCCGAAATTAAATCTTGGTCAATATAGAGACCTATAATTTGTTTTTTTTTATTGTAATACATTTTTTTTTTCAAATTGTCTTAACAAATTTCATTCTTGCAGCAGAAAGTTTAGATATTTTCCTTGTCTTTTACTTCTGACTTTTAATAGTCCTCAATTTCAATCTATACAATCTAAAAATGTAAAGTCTGTAGTTGAAATGTACTTTTGTCTCTTCTGCGATTTAATTCTAGGTAGTCAATTTACTTTTTATTAGCTATTTCAAAAAACAGAGATTTTTTTGTTTCATTTGGATTTTTTGGGGATTTTTTAATTATTATAGGCAAAAAATGAAGTCACAATTACAAAAAACGCCCCTTTTTTCCTGTAGTGTTGTAGAGCTTGCTTAGCTTGAATATTTTGGTATCATGGAAGCTCCCTAAAGATATCATTCTTAAAGTTGAGTACTTTAAAAAAAAACATAAAATAATTAACAACATTTTATTTGGTGTACCAGTAGTGATAATTAAAAAATGCTTTTCAGAATCACAGACTGTCATAAGGCTCATTGAGATATTGCTTTTACAATCAATATATGAGTTAGTATTGACTTTTGGTTTCTAAATTTGAATAAGCTTCCTGTCTATAGCCCCTATCACATTCTTTAAGTGCTGGTTATTGTTGCTTCTAGTATGGGATGCAACGATCTCTGCCACTTCTCTTTGCTCTTCAATGGCAGAAGGCCAGACTATGACCTTACTTGAAATCTCATTTGACATTGTCCTAGTAAATCATTTTGTAAATTAGTTGTACAAACCGTGGCTAATGGCCAGTGTTGCCTGTGAAATTCTATAGCCAAAGTGTGTATTAGTAAATCTCCAAAGAACAACAGCCACCTGCTGGGTGACACTCTATGTTCTAGGTTGGTCATCATCAATGTTACAGTAAGCTTCTGTGTCTTTAAGAAGATTGATGACTTTCTCAAAAGTCGATTTTGATATGCAATAATGAGTCTTTAAGCTATTCTCTCCAACATCTTCATCATTCAAATTGGAGTGGTTGATGGTTCACTAACAGTAAGTCTCTTGGTCACCATGTCTACAAGTGACAACTTGTTCTTGTATCACAGATACACCTCCCATATATATCAAAAAAATGTCTTTATTTACAAAGCTTGTCTGCCCTCAAAGTTTGATCCAAGATAAATGCCTTAAAAATAGAGATAAATTTCACCCTTTCTTGCTTGTGATTCTTTTTGTAGAGTCTTTATTTGAGAGGCAACAGTATCTCACTTGAATCTTTTTTATCCAACTCTTCAACAGAAGACTTATTATCTTTAAAATAGATATTGAAGTTTCTAGTTGCTGTAATCAACTCAATCAGATCTATTTCAGCTTCAGTCAAAATCACAGGTGAAAGGCTAAAGTCTATGAATGATATTGTTAAAAGTAATATATAAGTCTTGTTATTTAAAAATAAAAGCAAAAGAATGATCTATTTTTCATGCATTTGATAAGAATTATATTTATTAAGTATAGTATTTATTATAATAATGTCATTTTATCACGTGGATTATATCTATATTTGTATTTTTGTTCTATTGCCCAATTAGTCGATTGACACTTTTTGGTTGATTGATACTTCACTCTATAAGCACCTAGTGTATTTTCTTAATAATTGCAAATTTCAAGATTTATATCAATCACTACGGGAAATTGGATGTTAAATTATGTCAATTTATGGTGTTTAATATCAAAATCCATGTCTTTTTTTGCCAAGACATGGAATCTATGTCTTAAAATGTCACCATCAAATCAATGTTATTTATCAGAGACATTTTTTTTTATTTTTTGACTTAAATCCATGTTGACATTAATTTATGTTTATTTGTGTCGAAATAGAGCAACATAAATACACCAGCAAACTCATATCTTTTGATGTTAACATAAAACATCATTTTTAAACATAAATCCATGTTGATATCAATATATGTCAAAATATGTTGAAAAAAAAAGATGGTTGGTATAGAGGTTTTTTTTAAAAAAAAGTTTTATTTTTTGAAGCAGACATATAGTTTGTCTTCTAAAGAGAGAGAAGGTAAAGTAATTGCATAACCTTGAACATTTGCAAGATTGATAATACAGTAAGAGTTCTCTATTTCTTTTACCGCTAACAAGTTCACAAATAACCTGCTCCTTTTATCTTCTTCCAAAACCTGTTTTCCTTTTACCAGTGCTAGACAATGGCCTTGATAGCCAAACATGGCTTAAATGTTGATTATAAAAAGTTTTAAAGACATGTCCAGAGTGATCTCTTTTGAAATTATATCAATCCCATCTCTTCCTCTAATTTTCTTTACTGTCTGATGATTGCCGGCAACTGTATACTCTACTCTGTTAACTATGGGCACTTTTGAGTTGAAGGGTATGTTTTCACAAACACAGAAATTTAGCAACATTTCATCAAAAGGTATGTTCTCAGCATCAAGCATCATATCCAACTTGTCAGAAGAAATATTCGTACAGTCAGCTTCGTGAGTTTCATCCCTTTCATTGAGTTCGTAGTGCCATTTTTGTTTTGCACTTGCAAAATTATTACACATAAAGTTTATAGCGTTTTCCCCTGGCTTTGAACGCGACTTTATGTTTTCTTTGCATAGGCCTATAGTTCTTTCCAATGCGCAAGCACTATACTCTTTTAGCGGACCCATCTCTGTTCTATATTTGCTGAGGTGTAACAGGTAGTGCTGGTTTATGGTGAAGCATTTCTCTTCAACAAGATCTCGCAGAAATGCATGCCATATATTTACATGATGTTCAATGGCTGAGACATCTTCTGTACTGATATATAGCTTCTCTGATAGCTGGCAAACCAAGGAAAGTGATGCAAGGGCCTCAGCCGTTCTATCCATACAACTTATAGCGGTCTCGATTCCAGTTCCAATGCTTTGTTCCTCAGGATCAACTTCATTGCTTTGATTCAGGATTGTTGCTTTGGCAGCTTTACCTTTTCCTTTTCTTTTCTTTTCATTTTTCAAATTTATCTTCAGGTCTTCAGTTTGAAGTTCTAGAGCTTCAACCAGCAGAGTAAAAACCACAAACATCAAGAAGTCAATATAATCAATGGCTCTACCATAGCCAGCAGAGGTTGCCATATTTAAAAAGCTTCTATTCTTGCTATGATGGTTGCTAAGGGCTTATGCTAACAGAAGTTTTTTACCCAAAGTAACTCTGTATGGCTTCCTTAGGAATAATGGGTTTGAGATATCAGATTTCTTTTGCCCATTATCAGTGACTATTGCCCACAGGTGCTTGCCAATATTTTGACCCCAAAGATATAGTTTGTCAAGTCCAAAAAAACATGTTCCAGTAAAACTTGATAGAATACCAAAAGGAGTGGGTTTCTTAATTTCATATTCAGTATCAACCTCAATAAAACTCTGTCTGCTTCTATTGTTACTAGTAGCCATGTTGCTGAAATATATGCCTCTTTGGTTTTTCTGCTGCTGGTCTCCTCTGATCTTACATACTCTGCAGTTGTAGTACGAAGAGTGTCCAGAATGCATGCACAGCTCAGCAATTCCAACAATGTCTCCAATCACAAAAGCAATACTGGCTCTGTACAAAGAAGTCAAGTCATCTTCAAAGTTCATTTGTAACCCTTGACTCTCAAAAACAAGAAAGTCTTGAAGCACTGGGTATAGATAACTAAATAAATTTTTTGGCTTTTTTGGTCCAGAGATAATCGAAATAATGAAGATGTTTTCTTGCTTATATCTTTCTGTTGGTGTAAGGTCTAGAATTGTGACCATAATGATTGTTATAGATATTCCACCTCTTTTGAATAGGTTAAACCCGTCAATATGCAGGACAAGGCTGAGCTCTTTCATTCCTCTGACTTCACCAAAAACGCTTCCATTGAAAACATTTTTATATACTGGCTCTTTAACTGTCAAGGAATCCTCAATAATAGTTTTTTTGTACTCCACAATTTTAGAAACATTGGCACTGTTTGCAAGGAAATCGGCTAACTGTCTGCCAATTGACAATTGATAGGTTGTTTTTCTTGGGAGAATGCCTTCATATCTTTCTTCATTACAAAAACAACATGCAATGCTAGCATCACCAGGATAGTACATTTTGCATCCGTTTATACACATATCATATTTTGTGGTACTGTTTTTGTTCAAAGTATCGCTCATTATCTTATCGCACTTGTATGGCAATATAAGCTTGTAATCTATTTCATTACAATAATTAAGAAAATGAAAGCCTTCAGATTACACAAATAAATAACAATAATTATCTTCTCTATCAATTTTTGTCAAATATTTATTGAACCAAGAGAAAGTCATTTTAATAAGCTTTTTTGAAGCATTGTTAGCTTGAAGAATGCTTTTGAGCTCGATACTTGATTGTTCTGTATCGTTTAACGTTCCAAACAATTTGCCATTGGTAACAGACTCAAAAGATAATGGACTTTCAACAGTGTTTTTAAAGGCTCCCAAGCAACTAAACAAGGATAAAGAATCATCTCTTTCTTCCACACTCTCTTCATGAGTTTCGACATTGTCGGATGATACATTTGAATTTTCTGTATCCATATGATTGTTTTCTGCATTTATAGCAGGTGATTTCTCTCCTTCTTCAAAATCTGCAGGATCGCAATTGTTCTCAACTGAAAGGTTGTCCACATCATTTGATTGATTGGAACACATGTAAGTCTGTTCATCACCAGAGATTGTTTCTGCTCTAGTACACTTTAGAGATAATACTGAAGAAAAAGAATTGACTTGATTCCAATCTCTCTCTTGTCTGATTCTTTCTTGAAGAGCTTGCATATTTTGTATTTCATGCATCTTGATGTGTTTCTTTCTGTTTCTTTCAGTTACTTTTACTTGGCATATAGGGCAAAATTGGACCATTATGGTAAGCTTTTAGTAAAAAAAAAAGGGGGATAAAAGAAATGAATCTATGGTTGACTGATATTTTCTTAAGAGCAATTCTCTATCTACTTTTAGTATCGCTTGGGAGTATTTTAAATTTTCTTGCAATTTGAACTACATTTTATCTACTCATTTTTTTTTCTCCTAGACAACAGCTCTATATAAATATATGTTTCTTACATATATTCTATTGATCTCTTTATTTATTCTTTTATAATTCACATAAAATGCTACCGTCATTGAAGATACAAATAATAAACCCATATGGTTCAAAACATTCAAAGAAGAGCACTTTGCTAGAATGAAAGAGGCAGTGAAAGAAATCAAACATGAAAACCAACAAGAATACAAAGAGTTACATGCAATGATATGTACATTGACAGAAATGATACCACGTCCAGCAGTAGGAATCAACAGCCATGTAGCAAACGATGGTCAAGACTTGATACCACCCCCAAAAAATAGTTCTGAGAAAGAGAAGAAGTCCCATATCAGGGATTTTATTATGAAAAATGTGATAGAAATCGATGAGGATAGAGCTAACGAACTGTTAGATATTTTGAAGAAAATATCTTTGAAAGCATGCCAATCTTTTGCTTTGAAAGATGACTCCAATGACAAGACCAACGGTGAGAAGGAGTGGAAGGGCCTGGATGGAGAAGACTATGTGCATCTGGTAATGTCAACCCTGCAAAAATCAGTAGAAGAAACTAGGGAATTGGAGGTTCTTAACCTTTCTCGTGGTCTTTGGGTTGTGGAGTTTCTGGTTCAGCCCAAGTGATCAAATATGTCATGCAATAGAAGAAGAAATAAGTAAGCAAAACATCTTATGTACATACCAACAAATGACTAACAATAATATTATTAGGTTTGCTTGTTTGGGCAAGGACACTGAAGAGAATAGTAGTAGTTTATAGATAGCTGTATTTTTTTATAATTAATATATATTTACAATATAAAATTTATTTTTTGACAACATCAATTTGATGTTAAATTGGCTAAAAAAGACATGGATTTATGGTTTTTTATGTTTCTATGGCGACATCAATTCTATGTTGTTTTATGTCTTTTTCAATGGTGACATTGATTCTGTGTCAAAAAATGGCGACATGAATTTTGCAAAAAAAGACATGGATTTATGGTTTTTTATGTTTCTATGGTGACATCAATTCTATGTTGTTTTATGCCTTTTTCAATGGTGACATTGATTCCATGTCAAAAAATGGCGACATGAATTTTGCAAAAAAAGGACATTTTTTTATAAGGAGCCAAAGGCTCTGTTTTATTGGGTGAAACTTTACACTACTAGGTAATAAAGGTGGTCACAGCTTGTTTTTGGGTTTTCTAATTTTCTAATTGTTTTTGTGATTTTGTTTTATATGTGGAAGTAGTATGGGAGGGGGACAGAAACTAAATTGACCCATGGTCAAGAGCGATCTCGTTCCAGAGTTGGTTAAGGAGGATATGAGCAGTAGACAAGGTGGCAGATGGGACAAAAGGAACTTGATCAAATACAAAGAGCCAGTGGTGTTGCCATATAGCCAGTAGTGTGCGCCCGAAGATGGAGGCAGATGAGAGAGTGGTGTCCTTGGAGGGCGGGAAGTTGAGGAGGTAGAGACAAGAGTGAATTGAGTCGGAAGTGACGGGAAAGGCGAAGAAAGTGGTCCAGATGGAAGACCAGACCGCAAGCTTGGCAGGACAGTCAAACAGAAAGTGAGTTTGCGAATCCAAGTCCCCAGAGCATACGGCACAAGTGGGGTCAGGGAAAGCCAGCGGTATTTGGGAGTGTAGGTGAGAACGGCAGAGTATCTTCTTATGCCAAGCGTGGTACCACACGTTGCGTGCACTGTGGGGGAGGGGGATTGACCACCAGTGATGGAGAGAGCGGGGAGAGATAGTGGGGACAATGGAACGAGTGGGACTAGGGTGAAATTTGCATAGGGAATGGAAATCTTTGAGGGTGAGCAGCGGCCAAGCGGAGCCAGGGACAAGTCCATTGAGAAAAGGTTGGATGTCGATGGACAAACCGGTGGGCAAGGTGAGGGAAGGATAGCGGATGGTAAGGATGTCAGTGGGGATCATTGCTTGGTGAAGAAGAGGATGTATGAGGAGTGAGCAAGTGTAAATCCTTTTGAAGAAGCGATGGAGGACTATCGGTCAACAGGGGATGCGATGGAGGGGGCATGGTGCAAGAACTGCATGGCAGCAATCCACCTCGTAAGCATCGGAGACCCGGAGATCTCGCCAAGTGGATGGGAAGGCGGGACAGTTGGGGAGGACTAAAGACACGGCTGAGAGAGGAAGAGAGAGACAGGTAGGTAGGTTGACAGTAATGGCTGTGAAGTCGTGTGGAAGAATGTTGATTGCGGCAAAAATAGTATGTAATGGAGAGTTATAATCCTGTTTATGGGGTGAGCAGAGGGGTGGGAAAAGAAGAGGAAGAAGCAGATGTTCAGAGTGAGAGTGAAGGCGAAGTAGAAAGGAAAACCAGGGAGGAACCAAACCAGACGGTTGCTGGGGGGAAAGGATCAGAGGACGAAGCCAACGCAGTTGTAGGGCGGCTTGCTGGACTTGAGGATCAAGGATTCCTAGGCCACCGCAACTGAGAGGTTGGCAGAGTGTGGCAAGAGATATGGGAGGAAAGGTACAATACTGGAGGAATTTACTCATTATTGAGCGGAGATGATGGAAAAAGAACATGGGTACTGTGATAACTCGTAAGACATGCCACAGTTTTGAGAGAACCAGAGTATTGAGAATGGTAGCCCGTCCACAGATGGAGAGGGACCTAGAGTGGTGGATGTGGCATCCTGTCTCAATTTTGGACAGCAACGTTTCGCAAAAGGAGGTTCGTTGTGGCAGCAATTGTATCAGGGGGAAGCCCAGGTAGCGTAGAGGAATGGGAGAGGATTGGTAGGACCAGGCAGTGATGCTGAATCAGTGAAGAAGTGGACGCCAATCTGGGAGGGGGCGACCAGACAGAGAAAAAGCTTCGGTTTTGTGGAGGTTGATATGAGCATTAGAGGCATGCGAGTAGGTGGTGAGATGATGATGGAGGCGGTGGAGGTGATTGGCGTTGGGAAGAAAAACAAGGAGGTCGTCCGCATAGGCCAGAAGTTTGACAGGGGGTAGGGGTACCAGGGAGGGGATAGAAGCCGGAGAGAAGCCTTGGAAAGAGGGGTCGTGGATGATGCAACGCAGCAGAGATTCGAATGCAAGGTTGAACAACACTTGTGATAAGGGGTCGCCCTGCCGGAGTCCGCAAGCTTGGGTGAATGGTCTGGTCAGGTGGCCGTTGACATTGATCTGGATCTGGGTTGAGAAGAAAAGCTGAGAGATGCAAGTGGCAAGAGAATGGGGAAAGTTAAAATGGAGAAGAGTTTGACGAAGATAGTTGGGGTGTACTCAGTCATACGCCTTCTCTTGATCCAAAAGTAAGCCTATACCAGCAGAGTCGTCTTGTTTAGCCTGAGACATGACTAGTTTAGTGAGCATCCCGTTGTCTGCGATAAAGTGGACCTGGACAAAACTGGTCTGGAAGGGAGAGATAAGGGAAGAGGCGGCCGGGATCATGCGGCTGTTGATGAGACGAGTGAAGACTTCAGCATCAGTGTTGATGAGTGCAATAGGCTGCCAATTCCGAAGTGAGCCAAGATCACCTTTCTTGGGGAGGAGGCAGATGCTGGTGGATAGCCAGGACTGGGGGAACACGCCAAGAGCAAGACCGTCATTGTAGACTCAAAGGGTTAACTGTGCGCAGGCTGGATGCACCATGATCAATTGTAGTATCTTGTATGGGAGTCCATCAGGGCCGGGGCTGCTGGAATTGGGGGCACGGCTAGCCCCAGCTTGAATGTCGAAGAGTGCGAGAGGTAGAAGTAGAGATGCAGAGGTAGTCTCAGACAGATGAAGGGAGGGTGGTAGATGGGTGAGTAGGTTGTCAATTGCAGTTTGTGAAGGAGCGTCGGGGTGTATAGGTCCTGGTAAAAGGTTGCAGCAGCGTCGGTGAGGTCCTCTTTGGAGGTGCAGAGTGTATCCGTAGTGAGGTGTCGAAGACTGGTGATGGTCGTGTGGGCTTGACGGTTGGTGATAGTACATTTCAGAAAACCAGCCGAAGTTTCACCTTGTTCGCGCCAGTGTCTCCCAGCTCGAAGTGCAAGAATTTCGATGCATTCCTGTTGGATTTGTTGGATTTGTTGGATTTGACGTTTGACAATGGGAAGTTGGAAGTTCTGGGAGGGTTGGTGGCGAAATCTGTGGATCAGGTGGTCACGTTTACTTTGCAACTTGACTTCCAGTGTAGCAAGGGAGGGGTGGGATTTGCAAGAGAAAGAGCAAGTGAAACGAGCCACTTCCTGTTTGAGGAGATCCCATTGGATTTGTAGGGAGGAGTTATAGGGGAGAGTTGGGACAAAAGAGGTCAGACAATGAGAGAGGGCGGAACAGAAGGATGAATTGTGAGCTAGACGCAGGTTGGCACGCCACAGGCCTTTGCTGATGTTGGAGAGGGTGGGAAAGTGAAGACAAGTCCGGACAAGGCAATGATCAGTCCATAGTGGCTGCACATAAGTGACTGTGGAGGAGCCATAACAATGAGCGAGGTCGGTAGAGGCGTAGATGTAATCAATGGTGGATGAGGACATGTCATGGTGGAAGGTGGGCATTGGTGCCGAGAGCGAGGGGGTAATGCAATCGACAAGAGTATTTGCCACGAACTGTAGCCAAGACTTCGGAGCTAAATGGACCCTGGGGGCTGCAGCATGGGAGTCGTAGTTGAAATCACCAAGCATTAGGAATTGAGAAGGTTTAGAAGGGACCAGGTGGGGGGAAGACAGAAGAGACGTAAGGAAGTCATAGCGAGGGCAGACGGTGGCCGGTGCATACAGAACGCAAACACAAAAAGGAGAGGACAAATTGGAGGAGTGAACAACAGTGGCCGTGATGCATTGGTGACACAAAGAGAAAAGGGAGTCAGTGAAGGATAGAAAAGGCAACACGGAAACCAGTCCGCAGTGGGGAGACCACAAGGAATCTTTGGCTTGAAATTTTAGGGTGAATGTTTGTTGGAGGTCTTCCGTGTGGGTGTGGGTTTCCTGCAAGGCTAGGATATCTAGGGTGAGTGAGCAAAGGTAGCATATAAAATGGGATCGAGTTTGAGGGTTGCCAGATTTGACAAGCCCTCAACAGTTCATAGTGGCAATGTTAATCATAATTGGGGAGTAGTGGTATCCTCCATTTAGTCGCCAGAGGAGGGGGTGCCGTCAGCATCACCGAAGGTGCTTTCGTAGAATTCTTTGTCAAGGATAGTGGGACTGGAACCAGAGCCCTCTGGGATGAAGGCAGTCCGCAGGTTGTGGTAAAGAAGAGTGGACGGGGAATTGGCGGGGTTGGTGTCAGATTTCTCCTGAGTTTGAGCCGCGTGAGATTTGGCTGCCTTGAAGATTTCAGCGAGTACCGCGAAAGGATTGGCGGTTTCTATGCCTGGGGATGCACGTGTAGTGTAGGTGCGCTTTGGTTGGGTTGTCTCGGAGAGGGACGATGTCAGAGGTTTTGCCGTCTTAGATTGGGCTGCAGAGTCAGGGTGTGGGGCTGGGGGAGGTGGTGGGTGGGTCTTTGGGTCTTGGGCGGACAAAATAGTCCTGGGTAGTTTCCAGGAGCGTTTGGACGGTCCGGATTCTGTAGCAGGTGTTCGTGGACATGTGTTTTGAAGGTGACCAGTTTCGTGGCAGGTAAAACATTTGCGGGAGTCTTGGGGGTGGATAGGACAGGCTTCGATGTTGTGGCCCATGGCACGGCAATACGTGCAGTGAGAACCCATGCGTGTCCACGTAGCCAGGAAATGGGTGGAGTCGGAGGTGGGGATCTTGTACGATAAGGGGAGAAGCAATATTGTGGGTGATGGGGGTCGTTCGATGTAGGCGTATCCAGTGCTATCAAAGCAACTGTGACGAAGATGGATGCCAATTTCGCAGACAATACCATACTTGGCAAGGCTGTCCTTAATGAGCTGTTCAAGGACTTGACGAGGGAGGAAGGGGAGTTTTGTGAGGTAGAGGCAAAGAATTTTGGTACCAGTGTGTATTCCTTGGGAAGGGAAAAACCGTTCATCGTTGACCAGGAAGCCTTTGGAGCAAATGTCCAGACATGTAGTAGAGTCGGTAAGATGCATCTCATGCATTGTAGATTGTTTGGATGGGAAAGACACACCAATAATATTGTTGGCGGGACAGAGCCAAGAAGTGAGTCCCAGAAAGCATCTTCTTGGGGAGTGCCAATTGGGGGGTTAAAGAAAATAGAGTGGGGTGTGGTGCTTTCGTGCCAAACATGAGAGGGTGAGGCAGGGAGGGTGGAAAACAGGATGGATGCGACCTGAGTGGGTTTGGTGGATGCGGTTTGAGCATATGATGGTAGTGGTGGATTGGTAGCTATGGGATTAGTGTTGGGTCGACCTATTGTGGAGTTGGACCCCTGAGGGGGTCCGAGTCTTTAGCGGGAAGAGCCATGCAAAAAAAAGACATAGATTTATGGTAATTTATGTTGACATTTTTTGACATGAATTACCATGGGTTTTTCCCATAGTGAATTGTTTTATTTCAAATGCCGATATATGAAAATAATATTAAATATTCACCAGTTTTTAAAAAATCCTAAATATTGAACTTTATGCAGTCACAACTTCATACAGGATTTTAACTGCAAAATAGTGACTATTTCTTTTAATATAGTGACATTCCCAAATTAACTTAGGTAAACTCCCAAGTTGATTTAGGCAAATTCCCAAGTTAATTTAGTGAAAAGCCCAAATTGATTTAGGTAACCTCCCAAGTTGTTTTTTTTTGGCTGTTACATGTAAAATCAATATTGTATAGCTAATATCATTTTGATTTAGCTATCAAACATTTTAAAGCTGAAATAAGAATAAATGATATGAAAGACAATATTAATTATTATACAAGATACAAAACAAGAAGCCTTTTTTTTAAAAACAAAAATAAACAAAATAAAATGAAGCAAAACTAAATGAAGCAAAATCTATATAAACATCCAACTAAAGATTCATCTACACTTTATATCTTTTCATTATTTCTGTGATAAAATTACTCTTAAAGCACAATACATCAGATTTACTTGTTATTTATTAATTTTGTAAAAGAATAAAAAACCAATTTCTGCTAAAGTGTTTGATCACTCTTTAAATACTAAATCAATTTGTGTTACACCTATCAGTAGCGTATAGCACATGTCATATACGTACGCCTTGTCAAATGACTGACATTTTTTCTTATAAAACTTAAATACAGTGGTGTTTCACCACAATTCCTATTCTTCTTTCTCTTACCTTTTATTATGAATTCTACATCCCAAAGTATCTCACCCCAAAGCTCAAGTGACGAAAAAAAGTCTAGAAAAAGAACAAAGCAGAAGAATGAAAGAATTCCCATGACTTTATGCAAGAGAATTGTTGACTTGACTGTAAAAACAGATCATAAGCCCGTTTCAGAAGTTGCTTCTATGTTTAGCCTTTCTAGATCTACTGTAGATAATATAAAGGACAGTTTCCGAGATAATAGAGAGGTCATTGTCAAGCAAAGAGGTGGCAGAAAGAAGGAATGTACAAAAATCATGGAAGAACATTCAGAATATCTCATTGAGATCCTAGACAAAAATTGCACGTTGACTCTTGAGATGATGAGAGAAAAGCTTTACAAACGCTTTGACAACTTACGAGAAAAAGATATACGTTCAGTGAACTATACCATCATATAATGAACAATATTGAGTTCATCTTAAAGCAAACCAAGGCTGTGGAGGAGAGAAGAAACGACGCGGATGTTATTGAAGCAAAGAGAAAATTTGTAGAGTCTCTTCTGGAACTTGGGATTGCATATGTAGCCAATTGCATTTTTATTGACAAAGCTGGATTTAACGTTAATCTCATATGCCAACAAGGGTGGTCGAAGAAGGGAAAGAATGCCATTGTACGTACTAAGACCAAGAGGGCACTCAACATCAGCATCTTGGCAGCAATATCAAATAATGTTGTCAAGAGCATGTCAGCCAAGCTTGTTCCAAAAGGCACCAATGCTGAACTTTTCACCGAGTTTTTAAAGCCAACTATAAAAACACTGGATGACACCAATGCTGTTCCCCAGTGGTTCATCCTGGACAATACTCCCATCTACAGATCCCATTTGGTCAGAGACTTTATGGCAACAACACAACACCACATCAAGTTCTTGCTATCTTACTCACCATTTTTGAATCCAGTAGAAGAGAGCGTCTCAAAGCTAAAGGGTTTGGCGAAGAGAAAGCCAGAGTTAGATACTACTATGGGAGATTTTTCTAGGGTTGCAAATGACTGTTATGTACGACAGTGGCTCGATTTCCTTTTTTGGATTTACTATTTTTGAAGCTTTACAATTTGAAAAATAGATCAAATTTGAAAAATAGAATGCTGACAAAAAATTTTTGGTTTGAAGAAAATATTTTTATTTTTATTTTGTGGGTTGAAAATATGGGGGTCATAAAATACTAGGCTACCAGTACCAGCCTAGTACTGGCTGCTATTGCAGGGTAGACAGGAGCTGCTGGTACTTGTAGCTATTATTATAAATAAAAAGCTAGCTAGCTACTTCAATACAATTTACAAAATAAAAAAGCTATGGATAGGACCTTTTCATTTCATTGAGCTTGAAGTGTTTCAAACCTATATAGATGACAAGAATGATTAGTGGCTGCATTCTTTAAGAGTTGTTTCCAATAACTTACCTTTGATAATGTTGATAATGAATAAATCTAGAGTAAGACATAAATTTGTTTTTGTTAATATTCATATTGTATAGACTACTCTTAATGTCAACACACGTACCTTTATAAGCTTAAAAATTGTTGGATCTTATACTATTTTGAGATTAAATGTGATTAGTAAATGGCAATTAAAATAAATGATCCTTTATATTGTTTTTTTAGAAGCCTTCATATATATCATACCATAGATTTTCGCGAGAAGAACATGTTATTGTATACTAGCATTAAAAGTTTGATTAGTAACTTGATTGTATTAAAAAAATACAGAGTAAAGAATGTTATGTTTTTTATTTTTTATTTTTTCTTGGTTTTTTAAAATCTCAGCAAAATAATGCAATTTAATTAGTTTGTTCATAAAATAGACACGTTGTAACTTGAACAAAATTAAGGGGTACATGTTAATTCTATCTATCTTTTTGTCTTTACTTCCTTTACATTACAAACAACAATGAACAGAGTAACAAAAAAACTTGCCCCAGGAAGAGTATCAGTACCTACTCCAAGAATTCTGGGCCAACTCAACTTCAGTCTTGTTGACATTGGCAAGGCTTGCTCACTTTGTGAGAAGACCTTTAAAGATCACTGGAATCTTAAAAGACATTTGCAAAGATGCCATGACATAACGGAAATGGTTGCAGATGATATGAGCATAGTCCAAGAGACCGAATATCAAGATATACAGACGAGTGACAGCCCAAAAAATCCGCTTACACCAAGTGAAAGTGTGGAAGAGGAATCAGACGTTGATAATGAATACTACAATAGTATCTTAAATTATGACGAGTGTGAAGAAAGTGATGATGGAAGTAGAGTTGACAATAGTGATTTTGATGTTGAGGAAAACACAGAGCCAAACGCAAGCATTCCTCTGTTTAATCACATCTTGAACAACATGTCTGCTTTTGCCGATAACAACAAATCTTCAATTGACAAAAAGAATCGAACATCCTAATTTTCAAATCAAAAAGTTTAGATGTTACTCTCTCTGACAGCACAAAATTCACCGCATCCCTTAACTTGCCTTCTGAGCACATCAAACTCCTTGCTGCCAATCCTATAAAGTCAAAGTCAATCTTTTCTTTACCTGATCGCATGCCAAACCAATCTGTCTGTCTTCAACAAGGAGCAAAATGGAGAACAAATCCATACTTCCAACAGCCCATGTTTACCCACAACAACATTGATTTCTGGTCTGGTGACATTGTTCTGTTAAAAGATTGCTCGCCTAACATTCGCTTTCTGATGGAATCTTTCCATACAATGGATACATCTAATGTTTTCTCTCGTGGATATATTGTTCAAACTCCAAAAGATGGTTGTAGCATTGGCATTAAAATCAATCATACTGACATAAATATTGAATCATTTCTCTCTGTTGACACAACCCCATTAAACACCTCCTTATGTTGCAGCATCTCTCCTGACACAATTATCTTGCTCATTCCAACTCATTGTAAATTACTTGAAGAAGAACATTTTCTGAAGAGGCTTATATGCGGCGGAACTGACCAAGAAAACAACTGAAGAAAATATTACAAGGTAAAGATTGCACCTGTAATTCTTTTCTCAGGTGATACTTCTGGAAACACCTCTAAGCAATTTAATCCATACGAGAGCTGGTCGATGAAATGTGCGGCTCTCTCTTTTGAGGAAAGGTGCTCCATAGAGAATATCTTATTTATATCAGCAATTCCAAAGAAGAAAGGTGCAAACGCTACCTTGTTGTTATCTGAAATTGTTGATGATTTGAAGAAGCTAGAAAACGGCGTGGTAATGTTCTCTGCAGAAGATAATGCATATATTCTTGTGGTACCTCCTTTACTTTGGATTGAGGCAGATACATTTTGTCACTCAGAGCTTTGCGGTTTAGGTGCGCCCAACTCAACTTACCCTTGTAGAAAGTGCTACATTAAATTGCAAAGTCGAATCCCCAAGTTGAACGAAGTTGAATAATATACTAACAGACATTCAACAAGAACCAAGGACCATTATATCCAGGCCGCTTCTACACCAGACAGAGATACAGTGATCCCTGATATTCCTTACTTTGATGACAAAAACACAGCAGAAGAGTTAAGTTTTAAAAACAAGTCAACAGACAAACTGCTAGAACTTAAAGCATATGACCAGTCAAAAGACACTTCTGCTGAAATATTGCATTACATTCTCCTTGGCATTGCAAAGTATCTTATAACTGATCTGGTTAAAGTTGTCTTGAACAAAAACAAAAAAGAACTAGAAGAACTGTTTTATTATATTAAAGACTACAAAAATTCCAGAGGCATATCAAGAGCGTTTACAAGGTCTCTCACCCATGCTGGTTTGTTTCTTAGTAGAGACTTCAAGGTACTAATCCAAATACTTCCGGTAATCCTGGCCATAAAGTTTGCAGATACAGAAGTATTGCAGAAAATCACTCCCCTCTTTGTTCGTCTCAGCCGTCTATGCTCTCTAATATTTGTTCGATCTATCGACAGTCAATACGAGACATATATCAGTGAAGTAGACACTGCTGTTAGAAGTCTAATTGAAGTCCTACACAAATACGACACTAACTGTAAACATAAAAAACATGCCTTCTATACGTCCAAGCCAAAAGTCCATCTGTTGACCCATCTGCCTGAAGATTTACGAAGATTTGAGCCTGCTCTTAACTACGAGACCAAAAAGGGAGAGCAGTTCAACAAGCATATTCGTGAACACTTGTTTCATACAAACCGATGAACACATCGAAAGATATATGTCTCAAATTTGGTAAACAATATATGACAAGACATATTATTGATGGTGGTTCATGGATAAACAAGAATGGTTTAAGGGAAACCCATGGAAAAGCTATTGCAGAATACATGCAACAAAGCTCTGATGGAAAATTCCATGAAACTTTGCTCAGTGGGTCCAGAGAATTTGCTGGCAACAATGGTACAGGTTTGACCCCTGGAAGGATATTAAAAGACAATACATTTGCTCTTTTTAGACAAAGCAATGGACATATCATCATTGGAATGGTGCTTTTTTCTAAAGTATACCATTTGTATATCGAATATCTATCCGCACATGCTGCTAACAACAATTATCGTCTAGCACTCAAATATGCTGATGATATATACACACCACTAGATGAATTGAAGGCTGTTTGTCTATTAGACATGCATCTGAAAGTTGGCTGTAAATATGCTGTTAACCTCAACAAATTTGGTTCATACTGGTCCTTCCTTTATTCCTTTTATTAATTTTTTATATCTTTTTTTTATCTCAATAAAACATTCCAATTTCATTAAGTCATTTTTTAGTTCTCTTCTGTTATACTAGAAATACATTTGTAGATGTCTGTACTGCAAGCCTTCCCTTATAAAGAACACAAGTTTTGATTTATAAGTATAAAAGGAAATTACACAAGCGATATATTTAGTAAGCCAATAAGATAACAGATGCGTTTTCAATTTCCTAATTTGATATCAAATTTCATCTGTGGTGACTGATGACTTTTTGACATACTTGTCAGAATGTAGCTCACAAATAACAAGAGAAAACTGCCAAGGCTGGGTCCAACACAGCATTAGTTTTTTTAACAGTCGCCAATATTGTAAAGAAATTTATTAAAATAAAAACATCTTGCATTGATATTACTTTTTGCATTCTTTATAATTTACATTGATTTTACATGTAACAGCCAAAAAAAAAAACAACTTGGGAGGTTGCCTAAATCAATTTGGGCTTTTCACTAAATTAACTTGGGAGTTTGCCTAAATCAACTTGGGAGTTTGCCTAAGTTAATTTGGGAATGTCACTATATTAAAAGGAAAAGTCACTATTTTGCAGTTAAAATCCTGTATGTATAAAACTACGCACTTACTATAGTGATTTTAAACTTAGTCAAAGCTATTATCTTGTCATATTAAAATAGTTTTATTAAGGCAAGGATGAATCCTTAGGGACCAGATATAATTATTTGATACTGGAAAAAAGGTCACGATTAGTGGTCCGGTTGAATCAACATGTCGTCTCCGACCTGACAACGTCGTCCCCTTAGGATTAGCGTTTCCTATTTTTCTTTTTACTCCTCTTTTTGTCTGCCGATTGTCCCGAATGAAATAAGCAGTGATTCGGTTTTTCTATTATTTTTTTCATCCATTACCAGTACCTTTCTGTTTTAATTATCTTGACTGCCCCGAGCGAAGTCGACTGCATTTCTTCCTTATTTTTCCTATTTAAATTCCCTGTATCTTGCTGTCCAATTATCACGATTGTCTTGAGTGGAATTGATAGTTATTCCTTCTTCCTACTTAAAATTCCTTGTACATTCACTGTTTTTCTACTCTCAACTGTCTCAAGTGAATTTGAGGATTAAATCTCTATTTCAGATACATCATATCTTATCTACTCTTACCTTTCTCTTCATTATATCAATTACCCTTCGAACTTGTACTCTCGAATTACATTTGTAGTTCATTTTCAATCATTTCACTTTCTGCCCAAGTTGCACACATAACAAACTCAGCACGCGTCATTTTCAACTCAACTCTCGGTTTCACAACTATACACTACCATATTTGAAAATTTTGAGCAAAAATGAAGACATCTCATTGGAGAATTTCATTCTTTATTTCCAAAATAAAATAAAATGAGCTACGATACAGTAACTTGTGATTCTGGGGTTAAAAGATTAATAAAATACATCTTTGTTTTCTTTTCTCTCTCTCTCTTCTTCTTCTACAAAAGGAGAAAGCTATGCATCTTTATGATGAACAATAAGAACGACTTGTCAATGAGCTCTTCAAATACACACACCTTATTTTGTATACCGAAGTCGCAGCCGGACGATGAACTTAACGCATTCGACCTCACATGGAGAAACTACCTACCTTCAATGACACAACTTTGTCCTTGCTTTGGTATATTTAAAGGAGGATCTATTCAGCTCGATGACGATGACGAAAGCACCGGAAATCTCGGGCCGCATTATTACAATGATCAGTCAATCTACCAAGGCCGGACTATCCAAGGTTATTTGAGAAATTCCAGAGACCGAGAATTTGAGTCGGTTTTAGAGAATGGAGGCGGAGAAGATGGTGCGTTTTCCAGAGGGGATTATATGCCAAGCTTTGTTACTCGAAATCCATTTGGTAGGAACAGGAGAAAGCGCCCGAGACGAAGAAAAGAAAGAGCTCATTTAATACAAGAAGAGCACGATGAACCGGCAGTGTATGAGATATTTTCAGAAGAACAAGATAGAGTGGATGCTGAGTCACTTGGGGACGATCAGATCGCTAATCTTGTATTCAAACCCAAGGTAATACTATACAATTTATTTTCATTCTTACTTCTAACTAAAAGTTGCTCCTTTTTTATGGCATAGACTTCAGATCAATACGACGAGGAGCTTTATATTACAGTACCACGAGGTGGCCCCAAGGTACAGGAGATGTTTCCTCCAACGACTCATCCTGGAGAGACGACTAAATACGGGCTTCAGAGTACGCCATATTTAAATGACAGAATGGAAATCGAAACAGAGTACGATGAAGACACTGGGTATGAAGAAGATACAGAGTACGAAAATTATCGAAACAACGAAACAGATGGTTGTTATGACCCAGATGAGCCAGATGAAGTTGATGAGTCTGATGCTGGACCGGTGACTAGACCAACGGTTGCACAAACGATGCTAACTGAGCAGTTGGATGATCTGACTGAAAAGCTGGTTTATATTAAGCGTAATATCATGGATATTGGTGTAAAAGATAGTAAGGTAGACCCCAGGACAAGTGCAGTATTGCGCCCATTGAAGCATTTATCTATGATATCAAACTCGGAAAGGTAACTGCACTATTTTATACTGATATTGAAGAATAACAATAGTAGCCCAAGAATGTTCACGTGGCTGATGCTGTTTGATATTTCCATATAAATAATAATGTAGAGCCATGTCTGACCTAGACTCAATTGCATCAGAAGCACTAGAAGAATACGGAAATGTGGTTCTCAACAACAAAACTATAAGTAACCATACTGCTGAAGAAATTAATCATTCACGTCTTGGTATACGAAAGAACTCAGGGGCATCAGATTTCAATATGCCACTAGCTGATAACCACTCCACACCATTCGGGTCTGACCAACATCCATTTACGTACTTTGAACGATCACCTGTAATTGCATCGCAAACATCTTCAAACAGAAACAGTTTGGGAGAAAACCAAGGACTCAATGTTCACTCAGTATTTGAATTTGGCAAGAAGTGGCTCAATGGCACTTCTTAGACACCTTCTAAAGATTCCTCCTTCTTATTCCTTTTTTCTTTTACAAATGAAGTATAAATAAGTTACCATATATTTTTTTTCTCTACTACCCCTATTCCATTTGTACTATTTTCTAACTCTTTCTCTCCTCTGTATAATTTAGCATGCTGATTACAATTTTTTATAAACGACACTTCCAAATGGATAATTTGTCTCTGCCTTTTTTTCTTTCTTTTGAATTTATAATGCCGATACAATTTAGTTGATATATATTATATATTATAAAAATAATAATACAAAATGAGAGCAATACAAGACTTTAAATCCATATTTAGTCTTACACTCGCCTCTTTCTTCCTTTTATCTCTTTATTATATTATTGAAATCAAATCTAGTAAATAAGTCAGAGCTGTCTACTATGAAACGTTCATTTTCTGGAGATTCCTCAAGCGAACGTTCTTATAGAGATGCCCGCTCATACGATAGACATTCAGATACAGCTATACCATCTCCTGCGCGTTCATGGTCATCTCCTCCTGTTCCTCGCCCAAGTGTTCATGCCAATCAGCATCGTTTTACAGGCTGTTCAAAGATTACAAATTACGAGTTTAAAACGAAACTAGGCGAAGGAACTTTCGGGTACTCTATATGACAAACATTTCGTTTCTCTTTATCTACATGTATCTTCACTTCTTTAATAATAATTACCTTGCAAAACTAGCGAAGTCCACAAGGCCCGTCACAGAGATACAGGTCAACTGGTTGCTCTTAAACGCATTCTAATGCACAACGCAAAAGAAGGTGTAAGTCGAAGATACGAATTATGTTTGTGTTTATATGGCAAATTCGAAAGCGCGAGTAATAAGCATAGTAAATTTATTTGTGCTATATTTTCTTTGCCATAGCTTCCCATCACAGCCATGCGTGAAATTAAAATTTTAAAGCAGCTACAACACAAGAATATTGTACCGCTTTCTGATATTGCCGTAGAAACAGGTAAGACTGCTATTACGAGCTTTTGAATACACACACACGAATCCAGTAAATAATAATATTATGTATACATTTAAGGTGCTAATGTGTGATAAAAACACTACTTAGGAGATACAAGCCGAAAAGAACCAGGTATCATTTACATGGTTTTCCCTTACATGGACCACGATCTTGCCGGTTTACTCGACAACACTTCAGTACGTCTCACAACACCCCAAATCAAGACATATATGAAACAGCTACTAGAGGGAACCGCATATCTTCACCACGTAAGATCGTCTTATCTAATCCAAACACAAACATAAAAAAAGCTCATTATTTGTGTTTTTATAGAACATGGTCCTCCATCGTGATATGAAAGGTAAAGAACAACAAACCAAAAACAAAAGAAAGAATATTAAAAACATAATGTAACAATAAATTGACACTAAAACACATATACATTTTTTAATAGCGGCCAATCTTCTAATAAACAACGAAGGTATTCTTCAAATAGCAGATTTTGGATTGGCACGTGGAGTGGAAGAAGACAATAGAGAATATACCCAGTGTGTAGTTACCAGATGGTACCGCCCACCAGAGTTACTACTGGGTGAGCGCCGCTATACAAGCGCTATTGACATGTGGGGAGTAGGGTAAGAATACATATATAGGAAGCATATTCTCATTTTATCATAGATGTGTATTTGGGGAATTCCTCAGATTACGACCTATACTACAAGGTGTAGATGATATGGAGCAGCTCAAAAGAATTTTTCTACTGTGCGGGTCCCCTACAAACGAAAACATGCCCGGATGGTCAAAGTTACCAGACGCTAGTAAAGTCCGGTTTGAACCTTCAAAAAGGCGTGTGTTGGAAGAGTTCTCACGCTACGATGCATTGGCAGCAGATTTAATCGACAAACTTCTAGTACTAGACCCTTCTAGTAGATACACAGCACTTGAAGCATTGGATCATAATTATTTCTATTCTGAACCTTTACCGGCAGACCCAGCACTGTAAGCTTCCTTAGGATGCTTGTTAGCTCATAGCCTTCTAACATATTAATTGTTTTTATTTATTTAGTCTTCCAAAATATGAAGCTTCCCATGAATTCAATCGTCGCAAGGCAAAACAAGACCAACATCGTTCGCACACATCCCATACTTCTCAAAAACATTCACGACATTCCCATTATTCGTCTCAGCCGCATCATTCCAATAGCCGCCGAAGAAACTCAAATAGAAAACCATAAGTCTAATTTACATCCTTTTGTACAAGATATTTATGCTTTATAATTATCATTCGTATTTTGTTGAGACATGGTTTGTACGCTTTTCCCTTTTAATTTTTTTTTTGTATGGAGCCAGGAAGAAAAAGCTCAGGATTTTATTAAAGGTCTCTGATTGAATAGGAAAAGAGAAAATTAAAATATTTGTTTGTAAGGTTTTGTAGTATATATGATGTTTTTAGCTTTTAAATTTCCCTTTTAAATATAAATTGCATAGGGTGCACCTTTTTTATAATAGACAATTTTTGAAAAGAGGACATTTTTTGGAATTTAAGTACCGATCCCAAAATAGTATTTTTAAAGTCAGAAATGTGATATTTATTGATTTAATCTCAGCTTACGATGAGATTTGTAAAGCTTTGAGAATTGTTTCACGATTTCAAATGCATGTTCAGCATCATGACCAAGACTGTAGGCATTGATGTAGGCAAAACTTTTGTGGAAATATCTTCGAATCTTTTCAGGGACATCATCTTCTGGTGGGCAAACACTATCCAGAAATGAATTGATTTTTCTATTCAATGATTGAAAAGAATAATCACATTCACGTCCACTACGGTTTTTTGTTTGTATGGAGCGGAGCTCTGGTTTATTGGTGGGACTCTTGTCCAAAAGGCTTAAGAGGCGCCACAACTTGTTTTTGGTTTTTCTATTATTTAAATGTTTTTGGGGATTTTGTGTTTTAAGTTGTAAATGTAATGTAAAAAAAAAAAAAAAAAAAAGTGGAAACGAAGAAACGCGATGAACTTAGACAGAAAAAGGGCGTTGATCAAGGTTTTCTTCGGATTGTAAACGGGAAAGCAGGGAATTGGCAGTGGTAGTGGCATTAGCGGCAACGAAAGGTGATTGATCGAATATGAAAGCCCAGTGATGTCTCCACAAGGCTAAAAGAACAGAGCCAAGGATTGAGGCAGGATGTGAAGTGGGATCAAGGGTGGGAGGGAAGGAAAACTTGTATAGCGCATTGTGAATGTCAGAGGATTGGGGGGAAAAGCCGAAATGCGCGAGCCAGAGTGTGTGCCAGAGAGGAAGCTTGAGTGGGCATGCGTAGAGAAAATGGTCTTGAGAGTCAATTTCCGTTCCACACAGCGAACAATTAGGGGAGGGAAATGAGGTGGGAATACGGTTATGCAGCACGGATTGACATGAGATCTTGTGGTGAAGCAGCCGGAACCAAATGTTGCGAGAGGCATACGGAAGGATGAAAGACCAGAATTGACGCCATTTGATGGCTCGTATGTTGTGCGGTACATCCTCGATAGAAGAAGTGACGACTTCACAGGAGGAACGGAATTGGCGTGTAGACAAGCGTTTCCAAGGAGAGGTAGGAGAGAGGGCCAACAGGAGTGTGGAAGGGTCAACCTCAGTGCCCGTGCGAGCCATCAAGTCAGGGAATTGTTCGGTCAAGATACTTTGAGGCAGGCAAGCGCGAATGATGAATGCGTGAAGGAAAAGAGAGTGATCATCCACCCGCTGAAGGACTTTGCGGAGGATGCGTGGTGAACGAGGAAAGGAAGAAAGTAAGCGGCGAGAAAGGATATCCAAAGTGGTGTTGATCTCGTAGGCATCCCGGATCCGGAGGTGACGCCAAGAAGCAAGAAAAGCAGGGAGACCATGTGGAACCACAACTGCAGAGGCGAGAGGAATGTCCAGACAAGTCGGTAGATTTATCACAGTAGAGTCAAAATCGTGAGGCAAGAGATCGCAGGCAGCAAAAAGGTTAAAGAAAGGACTGGTATAAGTTCGGAATCGAGGGTGTCTGAGGTCAGGAAAAATGAAAGGAAGATGGGGATGGACATCAGGTAGATAATGCCGAAGAAGATATAGCAGCCAAGGCAACACCAGACCAGAAGGAGACGAAGTGGATTGGAATAGAGGTTGAAGCCAACGGAGCTGAAGGGCATTTTGTTGCAGTTTTGGATTCAAAACCCCTAAACCGCCCATTTTTGTGGGGAGACATAGAGTGTCAAGTCTAATCGGTGGGAAGCTTCGATGCTGAAGAAAGCGACCCATGAGAGAGCGAACTTTGGTAAAGAACGTGCCGGGAACAGATACAACACGAAGAACGTGCCAGAGCTTTGACAATATAAGAGAGTTTAGGACAGTAGCACGGCCACGGAAGGACAAGGCGCGGGAGAGGTGGATATGTGAAGCTCGCTCTATCTTAGACAAGATTTGTGAGCAGAAGGAGTTGCGTTGGGTGAGGGAGGAGATGATCGGAAAGCCAAGGTAGCGGAGAGGTTCTGGAGAGCGACTATCATGCCACTCGACAATCTGCAAGCTGTGAAGGGTGTCCGCCCAGTGAGGATGAGGTCTGCCTGACAGGGAGAAAGCTTGGGTCTTGTGAAGGTTGATGCGTGCGTTGGAAGCAGAGGCATAGGTGGCGAGGTGGTGCTGCAATCGGGACATGTCCTGGATCTGCGGGAGGAAAACCAGAAGATCGTCGGCATAAGCGAGTAGCTTTATGGGTGGAGGTGCGGGATGTTCAGGCGTACTTTGGATCTCAAATCCAGGAAACTGAGGGTCGTGTATGAGTCGGCGCAAAAGTGGTTCAAAGGCCAGGTTAAACAGAACAGGGGACATGGGGTCACCCTGTCTGAGTCCACGTGCTTGACAAAGAGGACGAGAGAGAAAACCGTTCACATTAATCTTAAGGTCGGAAGAGAAGAAAAGATTAGTGGTGCAGGTTATAATTGAAGGAGGAAAACCGAATTTAACAAGAACTTGTTGAAGATAGTCAGGGTGAACCCGATCGTAAGCCTTTTCCTGATCCAAGAGAAGACCGATTCCAGAGTGACCAGTAGAATTGGCATGATCCATAACCAGCTTCGTAAGTATACCGTTATCAGCAATGAAGCGACCACGGACAAATCCTGTTTGATACGGAGATACAAGCACTCCAGCAGCTTTGACCATTCGAGCGTTGAGAAGCCGAGTGAAAATCTTGGCATCGGCGTTGATCAGAGCAATCGGTCGCCAATTCTTCAGGGATGAGAGATCGCCTTTCTTGGGCAACAGAGAAACACATGTTGTTTGCCAGGATGAAGGGAATTGGCCACTACTAAGAGCATCATTGTACACTTGTGTCAGCAACTGGGAGCAAGAATGGTGATGAAAAATGAGTTGGAGGATCTCATAAGGGAGGCCGTCCGGTCCTGGGCTACTTGTTCGTGGAGAGCGAGACACGCCTTCTCGTATGTCTTCGATGCAAAGTTCAGCAGTCAGAGAGGAACATACGGTATCAGAGAGGCAGAGATCGTTGGGAAGGTGGCGAAGTAAATCGTCTATGGCTAGTTGATCTATTGGTTCAGGTGTATACAGGCCTTCGTAGAAAGAAGCGGCAGCTTCAGTCATGCCATCAGGCTCAGTGTGTAAGTGGTCAGTGATGGGATGGCGTAGTTTGGTGATGTTCTTTCGGGCTTGGCGTTCTGCAACTGTTCGCTTGAGGTATCCTGCGGAGATCTCTCCATTCTCTCGCCAATGTTTGCCTGCACGCAGGGCAAGAATTTCCACTCTCTCCAGCTGGACTTGTTGCAACTGTCTTTCAATAATGGGCAATTGGAAGTTTTGGGCGGGTTGTTGTCTGAACTTGTGGATTAACTTGTCACGTTTACTTTGAAGTCTGGCCTCCAGTGTAGTGAGTGTTTGTGTGCGGCGCCTAGTAAAGGACTTAATGAATTTTGTAAGCATATGTTTTAATCTATCCCATTGGTCTTGTGGGGACATATAGGGAGAAAGTAGAAATACGGAGGTAGAAATATAGGCGTCAAATTCAGTGCAAAAAGTGGGGTTGCGGGCAAGACGAGGGTTGGCGCGCCACATTCCCTTTCCTGTTGCATGGTTGGCGGTAAACTTAAAAGTAGTGGCTACTAGACAATGATCGGACCAATTCGGATGTATATAGGACACAGAAGAGGACTGACGGCACGGGGCAAGGTCGGAAGAAGCAAATACATAATCTATGGAGGAGGAGCAAAGTTGTCGGTGGAAGGTTGGGGCAGGGACTTCACCACTCAATGTGACACAATCCACGAAATGGTTAGAAATAAAGTTAAGCCATTCGGGAGGGGCCTGGCGAGGGTTAGAAGAAGTAGTGCGGTAGGTATAATTGAAGTCGCCCAAAAGTATGCATGAGGATGGGAGACGAGGAAGTAGTGCTGGAGAGTTGAGAAGAGAGCGGAGGAAAGAAAAGCGGTCCCGGTAGGAAGCTGGGGCATAAACAACGCATATACGGAAAGAGGGAATGGAATTATTAGTATGTATGACTGTAGTAGAGATGCAACGGCCACAAGGGCTGAATAGAGGGTTAATGAAAGATAGGTGCGGAGAAAGAGAAACAAGACCGCAGTGCGGAGACCATAAGGAATCTTGGGCATGGAATTGTGTATGGAACATCTGTTGGAGAGGTTCAGTATTGGCATGAGTTTCTTGAAGGGCGAGTAAATCGATCCCGCAGGATCGAAGGTGTCTTATAAATAGGGAGCGCGTTTGTGGGTGGTTAGTTTTGGCTAATCCACGGCAATTCATAGATGCAATTTTTATCATAATTATTATTGGGGGATAGTTTCTTCAATACCCTTCATAGGGTCGTCTTCGCAGTTTTTCTCAAAGTATGCCTCCACCTCTGCCAAGTCGTCATCGGTGAGCGTGGGATCATCAGCGGGGAGTGTTTCCCTATCAACTAAGTTCGCCTCAAAAGGGAGTGGAGGTGTTTTTGGTGTCTTGGTGCGTGAATCGGCGGGTACAGCTTTGGTGGTGTTGGCGGGGTTGTGTTGAGACCCGGCAGAAGAGAGGGAAGGGTCAAGTAGGGCATAAGGGTTGGCTGTGGTGAAGGAGGGGGGGAGGGTCTTCTTCATATGTGAGCCAGAGTGAGTGACAGTGGGTCGGTTGGTGGTGTTGCGGGTGGCAGTGGTGCGATGGGGGCCATGCGGTTCAGGAACCTTGCGATCCCGTTTGTATGAGTTGTCCACTTCGGCAGCACGAGGGCATTTAGAGCGAAGATGGCCGATCTGATGGCAGCCATAGCACGAGCGAGTTTCTTTTGGTCGAGTGGGGCAGTTGTCGCGGTCATGGCCCATGGTTTGACATAGAGCGCAATGGGCTCCCATATTGAGCCAAGTGGCCAAGAACGTCGTGTTATCATCGAAATCCATTTTAAAGCGAAGTGGAAGGAGGGCACCTTCCTCATATGGAGGACGCTCCACATATGCGTGTCCACTTCCATCCATAAACCCAAACAACGTGTTAATGGAGATATCGTGCACATAGCCATATTTCGTGAGAGCATTACGAAGTTTGGTATCCAAGGTAGCGTACTCTTGAGGAGGGAATCGGGGGAGCTTTGACAAAGTCAGCTTAAACAATTTGGATGAGCTAGCAATGGCAGGGGAGGCAAGAACAGTTTCGTTGTTGTACCGAAAGCCTACACGACAAGCACGAGCACAAACATCTTTGGAGCTCAAGTGGAGCTCAAAGAGGGTACCAGCTTTATTGGAAGGGTTCAGGCCAAAGATTTCGCCAGGCAAAAAGGACTGGAGCAGAGCGTCAAAGAAAACAATGAATTCGGGAGAGGTTTCCGGGGGAGTAGTGTAGTAAACGGAGAACTGGCTAGTACTTTCTCGCCAAGTGCGAGGTTTTGTCAGGGGGTCATTAGACCCAAGTACGATTGCATGGCGGAATGTCGGTGCGGTGTTTGTTAGGGCAGTCAAGTAGGTGAGAGGGAGTCCGGGTGTGGGTGTTGTGATAGTGGGTGAATTGTTTGTATGGCCGTTTATGAGGTGTTCCCCTGTGGGGGGGTCCGGTTATATAGCGGAGGAAGCCATGATACACGTCCACTACGGGAAAAAACTCGGGATTTTCGAATTAGTGACTTTCTTTTTGGTCTATAATAATTAAAAATTCACCAAAAATTCAAAATGAAATAAGAAAGTCTCTGTTTTTTGAAGAAGTTGATAAAAAGCAAATTGACCACCGAAAATTAAATCTCCTAATAGACAAAAGTGCATTTTAACTACAGACTTTACATTTTTAGTAAGTGTTTATTGCAATTGATGGCTATTACAAGTCAGAAGTAAAGAGAAAGAAAATATCAAACTTTTATTACTTGAATAAAATATGTGGACAATTCAAAGACACGCTAAAAAATTAGAATAGGGAAGTGTATGTCATCATTGTAAAATTACTATATTGATATTTCATATCAAAGAGTAACCAATACATTTGTACAAAATATATGACGCTAATGACGACTTAGAAAATTTTTCTTTCTTGTTCTTTCTTTTGTTCATAACAAACCCTGACGCCGGATTTTTATTATTATCATGAATAATTAAGAAGATTCAGTAATTTATCTGCTTCAAGGTATGCGAGAAACACTTCGGGATATACAAGAAATGCTTATTATTTTGCAGAAGGGCCAAAAAGCACTCTAAAAGTAACAGGCATTCTACGACTGGAGATTTCTGAACTACCTAATGACATAAATGAATACACACTTGAGAAGCCCACCCCAGACTATGATGTAAGAAATAATAAAGCAAAGAAAAACATATAAGCTAATGTAAAGCAATATAGTTCTTTGATGTCCTAATCTCGAGATTAATGCTTGTATTAAAACTATAACTTTGAAACACGACTTTAAAATGATGAGTCATGTTCTTGGTTTAACTCAACAAGAAAAACAAAACAACTATTAACACGTTCACGTCTTATATGTAATGAAATGGCCGTCTATCTTTCTGTACAATCTTTAGAAATAAATCCAAATACGATGTCTATCTCAAGAAAACAAGGGCATAATGTGCGCCAAACATGTGTGTCTACTTAAACAAAGTTGCGTCGGCTTTACCACATGTCACAAAAACCGGATATTTGTTGCAAAAGTCTTTCAGTCATAGAAAAACCGCGTGAAGGAAAGAACTCGTAAGTTCATGTCAGGTAGGTATAATAAATTGTATACTTAATATGAAAACATGGAATTATTCAAATGATATTTAGCCAATACAATTAATGAATAAAGAATTATCCTTTTTATAACAATTAATAAAAGTATTTTTAAATAAAAATCCTCTATGAAATGAAACTTTTTTACCCAATTAAAATTGTGAACAAATCAGAATATATATAAATGAGGGCCATTTGAGAGAATGTTTCTGTTGAAATGACCAATACCATTGAAGCATATACAATAATAGAATGTATTTTATCCAATTAAAATAATTATAAAAACCAAAATAATATTTTATTACCAATTTAAGAACTTCTTTTTTCATTCTTACCAATAGAAATCTTTTTATATTTTTTTTCCTACCAATGAAAATAAGGTTATAGCAGATGGATAAATATAGCGGGATATGAATAAAACCTAACATCAATAAGTCAACGGCGATTAAAATATATTACTTAAAAGGGAACTAGAGATTCCACTGCGATTCGCGAGAATCGCCAGCTCAATCCCAAGCTGAATCTCCAGCTGAATCCCCAGCGGAATTCCCACTTTTTTTCCCGTAGTGGTCGTGCTTCTTTCTTGGCTGCTTCCCAGTATCTGATTCTTGAGACTCACACAAAACTCAGGTATTTTTCGGCGGGTTTTTAAAAATTGGCAGTACTTTTTTGAAAAAAGAAAAGTATTTTTCTGTTTCCATATAATTTTTATAAAAATACCATGACGAATACCATGATATATCGCATATCGGACTCATATGAAACGCAAGCTCAGATACATCCAATGAACAACGACTTTTGGCTTTTGGTTACTTATTATAGTCAATATTTATTTTTATATTTATTTTACATGTTACACTACAATATATTAGGAAGAGAAGTATAAATCCTTAGTGGTTCATCTAATAATAAAAAGATATCTTTATTTGCAAGGCATTTGAAGTCTAGGATTGGTTTACCTTTAACAAACAAAGACATTGGTTCCTGACAATGTCTTCTATACTTCCAATACACTATTATACTTGAATGTGATTAGTTCTCTTCATAATGTATTTTTAGTACGATGTACTCTGATAGTTTTCATTAAAAAAAAAGGATATAAAGAGTACTACAATTAATAGAAAAAGAAACTACCTTTATAACAAACCAAACATTCTCATAAAGAGCTGTAAGTATATCTTGCCATAATTAATACGTTATTACTTCAAATTTTCAAAGACTTTATGAATAATGTTGTTGATATATTATACATTATTTTATTTCTATTTATTCAGCCTCAAATGAACAACGGAAACAACACTACCGTCAATGATCCAAGTCTTCAGCGTATGATGGACAACACATCAGCAATGTACAGTAGCAACCAATTGGTATTAGCTCAAAACCTGGACCAGCGCCCTACAAATACGACGAAAGCATATCTTGCAAAGCAAGAAGAATGGAGAGTATGTATAATATAGTTTTCTGTATAAAAAAATATTAAAAGTGTTTTTATACATTTCAAACAGCAATGGTGTCTCAAGAAAGAATTCGGAGATGGTGAACTTGTGAATGATCAGAAACTAAGCTTTTTCATGATGGATCATGTCATGAATAGAGGACGTAAATTAAAGAGGGATGATAACAACTCCCCGATTCCATTAGGCAAAGAATCAATAGCGGCCTATGTCAAGGCAGTAGCCGATATATGTAGCAAGCAGAAAGCTCTTGGATTGAATCCCAATGGTGTAGCAAGAGGACCACTTGTCCGTGCTTTCCTTGATACCGCAAATAAGGCACGCGCACAGACTGTTAGAAAAAACTTCGAAGATCGTGAAAAGAATACACTTAACGATGGATACACCAAGCAAGAATTAGAAAGAATCAGTCAATATTTCATGGAAAAAAACGATACCCGCGCATGTCGAGATCGACTTTGCTTTCTTATAAGTCATGCAATGCTATGCCGAAGTCAAACAGTTCTTGGAATACAATTTGCCGACCTTTTCTCTTTGGAATTAGACAACCAAGGCGCCACACAATGCATTGCTCTGGTGGCAACCATGACCTTTGGAAAAACCAATCAACACGGAAAGATTGAGTATGGATCGTCAATCCGTCATCGTCAATTTGAAGTCTGTTCCGTTGGTGCATTGGCCATGAGTTTATTCTCAAGATTTTATTATGAGAATGAGCCATTTCCCGACTTTTCTTCCCGTGAAAAATGGTATGAAACAGCTCTTTTTAAAGGTGACGACCGCTTCAAGCCGATACGATACAAGACGCAGCATAAAATATACCTTAAGGCATTCAAATCAGTTGGGATCCATACTTCAAAGGTCACCCATGCCAACCGCAAAAGTTCTCTCAATATGATTGCACAAGAGAACGTTTCCGGCGACCAACAACGAATGGTTGGAAGGTGGGGAACAGACCGTATGGTGGGATGTTATATGTCAACATTGCCTGTGGAAGCAATGAAGGCTTTAGCAGGGTTCTCTGGAAACAGTAGCAACTTCTTTTTAGCACGAGCAGTGGTTCAACCTTCGGCTTCTCTACAAACAATAGTTTTCCCAAATATCGAATCTTGGAAACAGAAATTTGCAAATGGAGATGTCCAAGAGGACATAGCTGGCCCAATTTTTTTGGATTTACTTTCGCGACTTCGAGTGGTATTTCTACAGGTACATGTTGTTATTAAAGCACTGTTTGTAATATTTTCTCTAAGTAATATTTCTTTGCTGCTTTTTTTTTTAGGACTCTGTTCTTCTGAAAAAGAAATTCCCAGGTTATTATCTTTGGACATGTGCTATCTTCAGCTCAGAGGAATACAAAAGCTTCGAACAGCAAGTTCTCTCCGCAGTACAGCAAGAAGAAGAGGTGTTCATGAGCAATAACAGGATGGATATGGTTATGCCAGAGATGGTAGATAGTGTCAGAGCTGGTTTCGGAACAGTTCACGCCACCATGAATTCGATGCAGTCCATGATATATGCCCACCTCTCTTCACACGCTGCCTCCATTAATAGATTAAACAACAATTTTACCGATTTTTTTGCTCTCGGATACAATCAATTCAGTAACTCTACAATTGCAACACCATCGAACCTACCTTTACAGCGTAACATCATTACATCACAACCTCTACAACCACCACCCCAAAGTACTCCATTACATAGTGCCGTAACATCTCAACAGCCAACACACCCAGAACAGCCGGAACAGTATACAATGAGCCAAAGAATTTTCTATGTTACTGATGTATGGAGAGAATATGTTTTCAGCTTTAATGGCAGCCCATCCATTCAATCCTTAGAAAATAAGTACGGAACTGCATGGAGAAAATATCGTAAAGAGTCTAGATTTTTTAGTAGAAGAAAAGAGCTGTACGATGCAATTAATGAAAGAGCAGAGTTAGAGAATATATCCCCTGAAGAAGCTGCTCAAAGAATGGAGAATGACCGAGTTCAGCTTGGAATTTCTCTAGATAAATATAGAGCTCGATTATCGTAAAAGATATAAAACTATCTTCATTTAATTATTTTTCTACATAAATACTTCTTATTATATTCAATAAATATGTACTACTTTCACTGTTATATCAAAATATATGTCTTTATTTTATGGCTTTCCAGAAAACTGTATGAGTAATAAATCATTACAAATATAAGTAATTCCAATCAATAATCATATATATTAGAGCATTATAAGGTAGGAAAGCTGTCAAGAAAGGTCCATTCTAGTAGTAGTAGTAGCCAGCCTTGAATTATATAACTTTTAGTCGACACATATTCATGTTAAAATAAAGACATCCATTATGATAAAAACGTCGAAATCGTCCTCTTTTTATTAACAAATTTGGATTTTTTTTCGGGAAATGAACCTAATTTTTCGAAAAAGGGTATCTCTACGCTCAATCTCATCACACCAAAAATAGCGAGAATAAAACTCAGTCAGACTATGGCCCACCAAAAATACCCACTCAGTATCTTTCGATTCAATTACATTCACAGTGGTATTTTGGATACAGTTCAAATTTGTGTCCACTGCCTTCAACTATTTCTTCGAGTGCTGATTTTTGGTTGGCAAAGTCTGGTTGTCTCTCCATAATATGGATTGCACAACATCTAGAATCAGCTGTCGCGACATTATTGCAAGAACGTTTTAAAGAGTATCTCTCTGCTTCGTTTCTATACATAGAACGTTGCTGTAATATGCCGCGAAGGCCAATGAAATATTTTTTGTATTTTTTATTCTAAGTATGAATAGTTTATAGACACGTCTTTTAGCATAAAGTGATCCCTTATTGTAATTGTATAAATTATGTTTCTATTCGGATAGGATTGTATATAAATCACTTACTTTATGGAGCCGAGACTCGATTACTTCATATTCTTTAAGTTTTTCTTCATTACTCTTTTTTTGAAAAAAAAACTTTTTGCTGTTCTGCATAGTCGTATTGCTTTCTGACATAAAATGAGCTGTCACGAAATTTTCCCTGGCCTGAGTCACTGTCTTTTACTTCAATTGCACACAAGTTCATGTTTTGTGCCAAAAGAGCGTCTTCAGGATAGGCTTTATGATTGCTGCTTTGATCAAAAAGAAAGACAGCTACTGCATTTGGGTGTATGGCATTGAAAAGAGGTATTATATCTGTAAGCTGGGCACACATATGACTACTTTTCCAATAGCTTTCGTATTGAGCTCCAGGATAAAATACCACTCGCGAAGTTTTGTACTGGTCTCCTACATATCCTCTCATTGTTCCATGACAAGGGCATTGGAACTCGGAGATCATTATTGATCTACCCTCAGACTTTGGCAAACAATAGCTTTCACCATCTTCCACCCAGGCGTATTTTTGATAGTCATTAGCATAGAATGTACTTTCGTCATGTGTGACAAATACATGCTGTTTGACACCTTCTGGCAATTGAGGATATGACACAAGAGAAGGTGTAACATTGTCATATTTCTCAGAGTATTGATAGTATTCCATCATGCGTTTGCTCCATGCATTTCTATAAGTAAGCACATCCTCGCGCTCATGCCCATCAAAGTATACAACTTTTCCTGTAAAATAAACATAAGTTATATTAATGTGACATTCTATTTTTATAGAGAAAACCGCATTCTGGTTTCTATATTTGCCTACCTAAATGCTTAAAATGAAATCCCCAAGATATCAGCTTTCGTCTTAGGCAATCTGTAGACAACGGCTTAATTGCACTACCTTCGATCTCTAACTCATCTGATAGTAAGCTGCTACCAATGGCCTTAGGCAGAATGACTTCTTTCAAGTGGACTGAAAGTCCAGCAATACTTCTTTTAGCTCTTGGCTGACTTCTGAACCATTCGAGTATTTGCTGCCTGATGTCTTCATCATCAAGAACAGAGACACGTTTGGCATGCTTGCCTTGTGCACCAAGACTGATTCGTCTAGTCTCCAAATACTCCTTTGCATGTTGGCGAATCTTACGGGCTCTGTACCAAGTAGATTTTTGCTTGTATACAATGTCGCTTGCAAACTTAGAAGCTGCCATTTTCTTCATGTCCGTATTGATCAAAGCATATAAGTAATGATATGCTCCTTCGTAATTTCCCATCTCTGCTACACCAAGTTTTTGCTGCTCTGAAGTCGAACTGATGACAGGTACTGCGAACTTTGACAAGTCAATGATTGCGTCTTTTACTCTGCTTTTGAACTCTTCCTTTGACTCGACTTCATCTGCACTATCACTTTCTTCATCCAATCCAATTTCTGTCTCAGCAGAAGAAGAGTTTGCGATAGGCAAAAAAAAGGAGTCAACTCTAGCACTTCCTTTTGCTGCTTCTCTTTCTGCCTTTTTCAGTCTACGAACATGTCGAGATGAGTATGATGAACGATTGCGACTGTATTTTCCATTGAGAGCATCTTCAGCTTTTTTGGTCCAAGAAAGTCCGAGATTTTTGACATCACTGCCAGAAGATTCCGAAATCTCGGGGGTAGGATCAACTTCCTTTCTAACTAACTCTACACTTTCGCTCTGAGAGTGAGAAAGTCTTTTAGCAGCAGCTTTTTGAGATAAAGCTCTCATTTTAGAATTGATTTTTGGCATTGTCGATTGTGTTTTTATCAGGAACAAATTGTTTTTTTTTAAAATAAATTGTCTTATTTAGTAACGTTTTACATTATGTAAGTTGATAAAGAACTCAGTTGGTTATATTATTGGTTGAAAAATGAAGCCATCATTTTGGCCGCACTGCTTAAACACTGAGATGTTACCTTGTTTAAAAAAATATTTTTGCAGAAAAGTAGTAGATGTCTCACCGCAGAGAGTTTCTAAATAGCATTAAGAGCATATTAAAGCAAACAGAACTCAAAAATATTAAGATCCCAGAAAGCCTTTTGGCTTTCTAGTTTTATTAATAAAAAATACACACTATAAAAAGATACACTATACGTTACACAAATATCAAATTAAAACACAGGGAGCATTATTATTGGCCGGAAAATGAGGACATTTTTTGAGCCTCCCTGCTTAAATATCGAAACTTCATCTTGCTTAAAGTTTTTTTTTTTTGCAGAGAAGTAAAAGAAGTCTCACCGCAGAGATCTTGTAAATAGTAAAGCAAACGACTCAGCGGTAACAAAATTCAAAAAAATTAAGATCCCATAAAGCCTTATGGTTTTCTAATTTTACATATAAAAATTGTCGATTATAAAAAAGGTGCACCCTATAATGTTTATTGTTGTGCTAACGTATATTTTATGACCAAGCACAAATACCTTAAATTCTTCAATTTATTATAGCATATGTTAAATATAAAGTACACCTGTAGTTTTCGAATACCCAACCTATTACTTATCGCCCTACCATTCACATATTTGGAATTATCATGGATAGCAAGATAGTTGCTGTAAGGACGTGCCAGTAAGAAAAAAAAAGCTTTATTTTATTTTTGGGTATCTTTTCCTCTTTACTCAAACTATGGTAACCCCCCCCCCCCCCCCCCCCCTCCTCCTCCTCCTCCTCCTCCTCCTTTAAATTCAAAACCCAGGAGAAAAAAAAACTGAAATAAAGCAAGGCAAAATTTATCACAAAACATCGTGTAGTTGAATGCGTATGTGAGAAAGAGAGAGAATAAACAAGGGAATTTTATCCTATTATTTCCACCCAGTATTATATATGTAAAAAAAAATACGAGTTAGAACTCTGGAAACCGACGTTCAAACGAAGGATCTACTTCTGGTGCTTTCGCAGTTGCAGTTTCGAACGAAAGCTGCTGTATAAATGCTTTTAGATCGTCGGCTACTCGAACTCCGTGCTCAAATCGGTTTCTTTCTTCAATCTTCTTCTGGTCTTGAGCCTGTTTGCCACTATCCAATCCAATCATACTAATTTCCATATGAATCGACCGTACAGAATTTTCGATTTCTTTGAGACCATCAGATACGGACTCAGCATACTCTTTAAACTCTTCACATTCATCTTCAATCTTCTTGGTTTCTGCTCTGATATCGACAGTACTAATCTTGCCCGTAATCTTTCCCATACGAGCTGCCACCATTGCCTTGGCTTTAGCCCGAATACGATCACTTTCTGTGACAGCACCACCTGGGCCTGTGCCTATGATCTCAAGGGAAGGTGACCCGGATTTAGAAGTCTTCTCGGCATTCATTTTAACTAGCTGGACCTTTTTATTTTTCAAGTCCTCTTCAGTTTCTTTGACTTGTCGTACAAGTCCCCTAAGAGTATCTTCGAGCAAATAATATATCTCCTGCTCCAAAGCCTTTTCTTGATCTGCTACATGGCTCAATTCGGCCGTTTTCTCAATATAAGAGTCCCATATATGGCCAGCACTATCACCTTCAGATTTCATTATCTCAGTCTGAAGTTCTCGGATCCTTTCTTTAAGATCGTCAATATCTTTGCGGTCAAGATAAGATAGCTTGCTTAATGACTTTGGCTTGACATGGATAGCATCATGCTCAAAATTTTCAATTCTCTTCTTTTCTTCAGCAATGTTTTTGCGCAAATCCATCATTCGTGTTGTTTTTCCACGGTACTCATAGCTAGATGTCACTGAACGTGTCGCAGCTGGACCAGGCGATTTGTCTCTCGCTTGTCCCCATCGACCTCTATCAGGGCCCATACGCCGTGCACTTGAAACATACCCCACTTCGTCTGGTTCCTGTGAGCGTTCTTTGTTGCGCGCCGGACTAACAGATCGTGTACGCGATGGTTGAGTGTGAGGGGAGAGAAGGGAGGGGGAAGAACTAAAGTTTGATATTCCTTTTTTTTGTGCGATGCCTTGGAGAATTGATTTCTTCAGTTCGCTAACACTGTCGTTCAATTCTCGTGTAGAAGGTGGAATTAATTCTGCAGGAAGGCTTATAGGAACATCATAACCATTTATCTTTCGATATATAAGGTGCATTCCAACCGAAAATTCATCTACATTGAGTTTTCCTTGGTTGTTTAGATCAGATAGATTCCTAAGAATTGGAGTTTAGAAAGAATGGTAATTCCAAAAGTTTACTTAAAAATGTATTATCAGTTGATATTATTCCATAATTACCAGATTTGCATCAATACGTTCTGGGGAAGACCGGATTGTGTAAAGATCTCTTTTGCAACCTCGCCTGTCAAATATCCTTTTCTTTCTTTGTCCCATGCTTTGAATATCTTGGTATATCTCTCTTTTTCTTCTTTACTGACTGCCCAAGGAATTTTGACTTTTCCAGGCAGACTTGCAAAAGATCGTTTTTGCATTGGATATGCTCCTGTAGCCTGGGGCATCATTCCATTAGTGAAATCAAGATTGTATCCTTGTATTCCTGTCGGTTGCATTGACTGGAATCCTGTAATTTGTGCTTGGAGTGAAGGTTGTCCTGTTGGCATATAGTTGAGCATGGATGTGGATAAAGAGCGCTGTGGTCCGATTCCAGAGTTTAAACCTGTAGGTAAAGATTGCTGTACTGTAGGGACAATTGATGATGCCTGGTTGCGTGGATCGGTAGATTGGATCATGGCAACGGCTGTTTCGATCTCTCCTCGAATATTGTCAGGAAGTGCATTTGGGATTTCCCTTCCAGTCATTTTTATAGACGTTAGATACATAGCTAGAGCAAATTCTGGGAATGTAAGTCGAGGAGATTGTGTGACATTGGAAAGATCCCTGTAAATATTAAAGCAGTAATATATGTTTAGGTATAACACTATTGAAGAGTTGTTGTCTTATTGATGATTCAAGCAGAGTATATTCCTATAATAGTATATAGATATTCAGGTAAATATTTTACCAAATCTTTGCTAATACATCGTCGCCTAAATTTGACCGAGAGAGTACGTTTCTAGCATCCACTGCTTTTAAACAGAAGATTTTATATTATCAAATCATTAGTTGGGAGTTTTTTTGTAATTATTAAATAAGAACAGTAAGATTAAAGATGTCTCACCAGATAAATAAGTCAAATTTCCAGACGCTTGGTTGAATAAGGATTCATATCGACTTTGGTCGGCTTGAGCAAGAAAGCTCAGACTAATGGCTAAATCGTGCAGACAAAAAGGTATAAATAAGAAAATGAGCAGATAATTTATTCAAGTATTTTCTTTGGGTCATTTAAGAGAATTTTCTATAACTCTATTTAAAAAGCTTGCTTTCGAGTTTATTTTCTGTTGAAATTTCGTTTATGTCCTAAAATAATCAATTGATGATGTACATTCTTCCTTTACTTACAAGTCATGGTCAAAACGAGGAATAGGAAAAAGAAAAGAGGTGAATTGCCAAAAATAGTCATAGCCAGTAAAGAAAGTCGGGGTTTCATGACATCACGCTTGTCAACTCAACCTTTTTTCTTTCACTATCAGTTATACAATGAAACACACTATACAAGTCGCACAATTGAGTGCATGTTATGTTATGTAAAAAGTGAGAATTCACAGAATGGTGCATAATGCTGTGATAATCCTCATCACTTAAACTAAGTCACCCCTCCTCGATCTTAGCGAGAATAGACTCATTGTATTTTAGACTTTTCGTCTTACTCTGTCCTTTACTACTTTCCAGAACATCTCGATAGTGTTCAGTTCTGGAGAGTATACAGGAAGGTAAATGGGATTATATTCATTAGAGGAGATATAGCGGCTAATATCTGCACTCTGGTATATGGGTGCGTTATTCATCACCAGAAAGTTGTCTTTCATAGTGCCATACTTGTCCGTCTCACCAAGGACAGCTTTTACAAACATAAAGAAATGACCGGTCACTATACCCTTTGGACCGGACTCACCAGTAGACGACTGCTCACTGAACTTAGGGTTCATCAAGCTGACGTGGATAAGGTCTTTGGCCAATATAGCCCCAAGAATAGTTAAGGGGTGGTGGTGACTCCCTTTTTTCCGTCCAAGGACCATCCTCTTCCTTGACGCATGTTAATGCCAAAGGCAGACTCGTCCAAGAAAACAGTTCGTCATATATTCCTCACATGTTTGCTTCATCTACACTATCCAGTTATATATGACTTCGATATTCTCCTCGCTGTTCTTCACTACAAGCTGTTCCTAGACCTTGTTGAGCGTGAGGTTACATTCGTTGACCATAAACTTCCTAACTATCTCTGTCGGCACGTTGTTCTCACCAAATACAGATGAGATGGTCCATCATGCCTTTGACATGGATAGATGAATCTTTGGCGACAAATTCTTGTATCTACTTCTTGTGCTCGTCGGTCAACTTTTTTTTCCCGCTCTTCTTACCAAGGTTAAACAAGTTGTCCGGATCTTCATCGTATTTCTTCTCCCAACGTTGTGCCACTCTTGAATCAATATTCAACTGCTTTGCTGCAGCTCTGGAACTCAGCAATTTCTCGTCCTTCAGCTTGAAGAATTTAATGATATCCTCATCAGTGTAAGTATTACGCTGACGAATAGTCTTGCTTTTTTCCTTGGGGGATGATTGGACTTCCTGTTAGTCACTCTACTTTGGATATATATTTAAATATACTTTTAATTATCACTTTTTTTTTAAAAAAAAAAATACCTCTGAGGCTTTGAAATTCTATCTTTATTTCTTGATTCAAAAAATTTGGAATGGGTTGCTATAGTCTCAAGACCATGACAATCCTCATCAATTATATAACTCAAAGCTTAAGAACTGTTTTCATATATGGTGCTATCGGACTTAAGTATCTATGTATAATGGTATTTTTCAAAAGATATCAACTTTTGCAAAAATAAATTTAATAAAAAATCCTTGAACAGAATTATTAAGCATGCTATTATCTATAATTCTATTGAAGCGTTTTGTATTAAATTCATTTTTGCAAAAGTTGATACCCTTCAAAGTTTGGGTGTTTTGATAGATTCCTTTGCGGAGTTTAACTTTTTTCAGAAGTTGAAACATCTTGATGGCTCCCATAGGCGGTACATGAAAATATTTATCCTAAAACGGAAAGTCATGTGATTAAGAAAGTGACCAAGCTTTAGGAACACACATTTTTCCCTACATTTAGCGGATATTGAATAATTATTACATATAAAAAAATTTCAAAGAAGAAATTGAAACAAATGCAAAAACATAGATACTTAAGTCCGATAGCACCATACGAATTTAATGGAGGACAATTTGGTATAGTAAAAGCTTAAATAATTGAGAGAGGTGCGTATTGTTTACTTGATTACAAGTAAAATTTTATACAAGCAGAATCTTTGTGAAATTCATTCATATGTTAATAGAGTCAGTCACAAGGTATTGCATTAAGCCACATGCTATACACTGAAACTGAGGTTTTTGCTTTTATAGCTTCTTGTTGCCCCTAACATTTTGAAAAAAGTCTTTTTATTTCTTAGGTGTCCTATATATGAAGGGAACTTGATGTACTCATTACATGATTTTGTGCAAGAAAAAATAAATAGAACGTGCTTGGCATGTCACTTTTTGTTTTTCTAAAAAAGAAATTAAAATCTTAAAAGTGCGCCTTAAATTTTCGAATTGTGCGCCTTACAAAAGTGTTTTACTACATTTTATTTCATTTTATTTTTGTACCTTGGCATCTGCTGTAAATGTCATTACAGATCCTTTCGGCACTACGAATTAATACTAGATCTGGGCTCGTGTTAAAATCTCGAGTGGGTCAACGATTTCTTACTACTTCGCAGTCCATTCCAACAAAAGATCTTAATGTTTTGAGCGAGGCCACCAATGATTACCTCCGATTAATATTCGATGACAGGTCTGTTTGGAAACAACACCAGTTAATTTCTCTTGGAAAAAATACGAGTAAAGGAAAAACACTATACAAATCCAAGAATATCGGAGGATCAGCCGGTCTATTTGAAAACCCAAACTTTGTCGATGCCCCTGGCTTTGATTATGCTGCACAGCAGGCTATTCAACGGGCCCAGATAATCGTAGAGCGTATATGGCATGCGCCTGAAAATGGCCTCGAAGAAATGCAAAGGGTGGTCAAGAATCTAGATAGACTCTCAGACACACTCTGTAATGTGATTGATATGGCCGAGTTTATTCGAAATGCTCATCCTAACCCAGTACTTATGGAAGCTGCCAACAAAGCTTACTCTGACCTCTGTTCTTATATGAATACTCTCAATACAGACACACGAATTCACCAGGTAAATAAAAGCAGTTTAACATTAACCAAAAATAAATATACGTTAATATATAAAAGATCAAGAAATAATACGGTATATGTGTGTGTCTGTGCGTGTTTGCGTGGTGTTAGGTCCTTTCTCAGGTATTGGCTGACAAGAATATTGTAAAGAACTTCTCTCGAGATGAGCATGCTGCAGCTGAAGTGTTTTTAAGAGATTTCGAAAAATCGGGTATTCATTTACCTAAAAAGCAACGTACTCAGTTTGTTGATCTTTCTGACAAAATCATTCATCTTGGCCGTGAATTCATCCAACGTAACCCACGGGCAATTTCTCATATTAAGATCCCAAAGTCTGCTTTGACAGGTATGAGTCATTCAACAATCCAGCCACTTTTAAGAAAAGATGGTTATGCGTATATCCAAACCGATTCTGCCGAGTGCCAGATGGTACTCAAGTACTGCACAAGCTCAGAGGTTCGTCAGCAGGTATACGAATCTATAAATTCAGCCAATCGAGAAAGTATCACGATATTGGAACAATTGATGAGAACCCGTGCAGAACTAGCTGGTCTTGTAGGAAGAAGTTCATTTGCCGAATTACAGCTTCAGGACAAGATGGCCAAGAATCCCCGTGAGTTTTTAGCATAATCTTTTACTAAATTGCACGTTACTTTACTTGGAGTCCTCTTCTGAAATAGCTTACTGATAACAGAAAAATTTTAAACTTAGAGAACGTCGAAGCATTTCTACAAACTTTGATCCAACACCAAACTCCTGATGCTCAAAAGGATATCAAGACTTTACAAAAAATTAAGCAACGATATCAAAGACTTGATTATCCACCCCAATTGAATGCATGGGATCGTGATTATTATATGCATATGGCAAATGCAACTCAACGCAACATAGCTCAACATACATCTTTTACACCTTATTTCTCCGTTGGATCTGTAATGCAGGGTATATCCCGTCTTTTTAATCATATGTACGGAGTCCAATTCGAACCTGCTCGCTTACAACCAGGAGAGTCATGGCATGACGATGTCAGAAAACTCAATGTGGTGTGTGAGCGTGAAGGTAGCATTGGTACAATTTACTGTGATTTGTTTTCACGACCTGGGAAGACAACCAATGCAGCTCATTATACTGTCCGTACTTCTAGACGTGTTGATGATGACGATCAAGAAAACGATGTTCGACATGCCTTTCCTCATCAAGACATCTCCTTAACCAAAATTATGCCACCCGTATATCAGCCCTCGAGCACTATACCTGGTCGCGATGGTCAATTTCAAATGCCCGTGGTGGCTTTGACATGTGATTTTACAAACTCACGAACCCAACTAGGCAGCCCTGCATTGCTGTCTATGTACGAAGTCGAAACCTTATTTCACGAAATGGGACATGCAATGCACTCAATGCTGGGTCGTACAGATTTCCATAACGTTGCTGGTACAAGATGTGCTACAGATTTTGTCGAGCTTCCTTCTATTCTAATGGAGCATTTCGTTTGGCATCCAAGCGTATTACCTCTCTTTACCAAAGGAATAGAAAATCCAGTCTCTCGTGAAGCTGTGAATGCACATTTGAAGCAAAGACGCAATTTTAGTGGAATCGAAGTAAATAGCCAGATTTTAATGGCTATGTTGGATCAACGGTACCATTCTGAAGCTTCAATGGATTCTCGTTTCTCCAGTGTCAATATCTGGCATGAATTGCAAAATACCAATGGGCTTTTCCCTAGTGTTCCCGGGACTATGTGGCCTGTTCAGTTTGGCCATTTATTTGGATATGGCGCAGGATACTACTCTTACCTGTTTGACCGTACGCTTGCGCGTAGAATATGGGAAAGATGCTTTGAGAAGAATCCATTGGATCGTGAGAAAGGATTGGCATTTAGAGATAATCTTCTTAAATGGGGAGGAGCACGCGATCCATGGGAATGCGTGGCTGATGTACTAGATGGAGAAGATGGAGCGCGGATAGCAGCAGGAGACAAAGAAGCAATGCAAACTGTAGGAGACTGGGGAATTAATGTGTAGAATACATTGAACAATAGCTAGCTAGAAGAAAAAGCAACAGAAGAGGAAGACAGCTTCTAAGAGCAAGCTTAATTTTTTAGTAAAAGAATCAGAAATATTCATAACAATTAGGGAAGTTTAAAAGTCTTTAGACTTTTTAAATGTATTAGCGACCTTTGGGGAAAGTTGATAGTGTCGTTAAAAGTTCTAATTAGCGACCTTCGAGGAAAGTGTAATTACACATTTCATTTCTGACGCGTGTGTGTGTTGGTTGTGCTGTGCAAGGGAACCAACGGTCAAAGAAACAAATAACTTCAGTAAATAATAACTAACAACGATCTTAACCCCAAAATACTGGTATTAATCGTCTGTTTATATTAGGGGGTTTCATTAGAGAACCCGTTGGGATGTGATATTTTCAAAGACTGCTAAAAAAGAATTATTAGTGAAACCCAGTCAAAAAAAAAAAGAAAAACTCAACCACAGTTGATGAAAACATAAGTACTGTGACAAACATACGAGAGATACATCTTAATAAACTTGGCTTTCCAAAACTTATTCTCTTAAGTAGATATATAGAGACGACTCTTGAATATATTGTGTTTATGTTTGAAGGCGAAGAAACAAGCTCAATTCTTAATAAAGACTTGGTGATGAAATGTAGTGAAAAACTAGAAAACTCCCAATTTTTCACTCTATTTCATCACTAAATGGCCTCCCTCAGTAAAATTTTACATCTTTTCATTGGAATTTCAATCGCCGCGTAAAGCAAAAGTGTGTGAAAATTTAGAATTTTCACTCGACAGCGGGTTCTCTATTATCTGTTTTAGATTTTATTTTATTTTTCTGAGTTTTAGGTTTTAACCAATAATAATGAATATAAAAAAGGTATTACTGAACCCCCCCCCATATTAGCTAAAGGTGCTCACGGAGTGAAGTGTCAATCGACCAATTTGGAAGGGTCTCAATCCTAAATATGGTATATAACTTTTAAAGTCCACAAAGAATGTCCCTGCTCTTGACCAGGGACAAATTATTTTTAAATAACATATATGGTATTTAATTTTTATTGCTACAGTCAAAGCTCGATATAGTGATATTCGATATATGCCATTCACCAGCGTACGAGGGAATTGAAAGAAAAATTACTTTTCATAGTAATTTATTCGATTCCGAATGGATATATTTGTCAATTCCCTCGACAATTACATGGTCAAAAACACCATGTAATTGTCGAGGGAATTGACAAAATTTCTAAAATAAGGACTCTAGCTACAAAAAGGAATATACTAAACGACCATACTTTAAAAAGCTCATTCTATATAGCCAATATAAAACAAATCATTAACAAAAAAATAAAAATTGGCAAGGTATTTTAGTAAGTAATTAAAAAACAGATGCTGAATAACAATCGGAATCGTATATGACGTGGCTCAATTCCCTCGTACGCTGGTGAATGGCATTGGTCGATTGACACTTTTTGGTCGATTGACACTTCACTCCGTGAGCACCCATAGTTTATTTAGATGACAATATAGTAATGGCTTAATATAGTGATAATATGGATATTTTCTGAAGATTAATTCAACTAAATAATAGATATCTTATTATGCAGTTATTGTATCAAATTCTGTTGTAATATCCAGAAATTGTCCAGTAACATGTTTTTGCTCCACTGTCGATCTGGCTAGAGTTTCGCACCTCAAAAGTGGAGGAATTTCCAAAAATACAGACTTTACGAGTATTGCATTGTACAACTAGTTTTTTAAGTGCTCTTGATTCAACCAAGTTTTCTAGAAGATCTTCCACTTCTATCGGTGTAAAGCGATTCTTGAAATGTTGTTGGATTGCATTCGTAAAAATTCCAGGTCGTGTCATCACTAGCTCGAGAATTGATTGAAGACTTATTCGCCAAACTCGATCAATTCGAGATCCACTCAAATCGTTCCACCTGCGCAAGTTAATAGCTGGCTTGCGGACTTTTGCAAGCTCCTCAACAATGGCCTTTTTTTCCGGATCTGAAGGCTTGGGGATTATGACACCTGATGGAACGATAAGCCAGTTTTCCAGGTATATCGTCAAAACAAAACGATATGCCTCAAAGCCAACGCGGGCAACCAGAGGTGGATCGTTTTTAGTCAAAATACCAATGGCTTTGAAGATATGATCATCTGTTATATTAATGGATAATATTTTTATATGTTCCTACGATAAATATTTTAGTAAACATGTATTTGAATATTACACAAAATCTATAAAATAATTTAAATACCTTAAGTTCCCATAAAGTAGCACCATCTGAACCCATTTTAGAGAGCTTGTTGACAATTTGACTCGCAGTTGTTTTCAATATATTGTTTTTAATATAAAGATTATCGAAAGCATCTTCAAAAGCATCTTCTTGGAGTGGAACAACATTTTCATTGTGGTTCCCAATGTTTGGAATATCATATTGTTTTCGAGGTGTTTCAAGTTTCATTTTTATATCGAAATAAGCATGAGAACTCTCTATAAAGGTTATTAGTATATTGTTTGTTTTAAGGCTTATTTCGAAAGAAAAAAAAAACAAAAACAAAAAATACTCAATCAATTTACCAATGGAACGTGATTTTGAGTGAAACATGACTTTAGGACCTTCAATATTCGACTTGTCTTTGATATCTAACCGAAGCTAAACAATAATGTTTTCATTTTCCAATCAATCATAATATATACCAATACGCTCCTATGGTTGTGTATTATACTTACTCTTCCATCTGAAAATAGATCTAGAATACAAGCCATTATTGCCTTCCCAGAATTAAGGGGCATAAACTCAACATCTCTTCTCTCAGTAATATATTGTTCATATCCTTTTGCATGGATAGAAAAATTCAGTCCCGCTTCCCCATTCATATATCTCGAGAATCTATATTGTTTTCCAGAGTTATTTCTTATCTAAAGCCCAATCAAAGATAAACACATGCATACTTGTGTGATAAACCTTCTTTTCGTCCAGGAATACGTCTTCTGTATCGCGAATTTTTGATAATAGACCCTTCGTCACTAAATGCATCCACAGCTAACGTGACAAGCTTTACAGGGAATTTTTGTAAAATAGCATATGCAAAATATGGCTCATATTTGTCCTCCGGCGTCAATAGGATCATCTATTAAAGACCAAATTAATAGAAATATGTATTACTGATTAAATCATTTAGAGCCTGAATGCTTACCATAATGAATATCTTTAAAAAAGAAACACTTCTTTTATCTCGATTCATCTCAGAGTATACAGAGCAGGATCCTGTATTAAAGCCTCCCTTTGGTGAAAATCTTAAACGAGGTGTATTGTAACAAAGAACTGCCTTTTTAGCTAGGCGTGTAATCTGAGCATGGTATATATCTTCATAGAGTTTCTTTTCTTGAGGTTTTACAATATTCTTTTTGAATTCCGTACTTGTGCTTAATATAAGCTCGCTAGTAAACGCAAAAGTACTAACACAAAGAACAACAAACAAGTATACAGGAGGTTAGTAATATATCCTTAGTAGTATATACATATTCACTTTTATATTTACCTTGGAGCTTCCTGTAGTTGCTCGAGGAAGTAATGAACTTGACCCAAAAGGTTAAAATGTATGTTATCATGAATGCTTTTTTCATCCTCAACAATAGCACCGCTATTGCACCCCTTTTTATATATATCTCCCCACAGGTGGCGCAGAATTTTGATCTGTGAACCAGCCGAGGCTGTTTCATGCAATCTCTTTAAGCGATTGCGAAGACTAGAAGTTGTGCGATCAGAGAAAACCCGGCTAAGTGCACCCCACATAAAACGATGTCCTTTGAGACGCTCCGCCACGATGGCATAACCGTAGATAAGCAAATCATCTTCTTGATCGCTCCAACTATATCTTTTTCGACCTGTCTTGTCATCAAGTAGTTTATATTGCACTATAAAAATAGTTATTTTATTTAATATATTGAAGTACGAGTGTTTTTTCTGAACAATTTTACCATCTGTGAAGAAATCCAAGGAGCCGTTTTTATCTTGCCGTTCATCTGCGTCTTTATTGATACCAAGCATATTATTGAGACTAATCTTATGATACCAATTTGGATATATTGTTTCGTCATTCAAATGGTCTGCAGATCTGGATAGTTTGAAAATACCAGAAAATTCTTTTAGGGAATTTTGTCCCATTGGGATATTCTGCTGGATTCTAGGTTTTCTGAATCTTTTTCTGCCATGAACATGTCGTTCTATCATTCGGACAGATATTTTCTCTTGGCGAGTGAGAAAGGAGACCTCAACTTTGCGGTAATAGGCTCTAACCATAGTGATGTTCATTTCACTTTCTTCCGCAGCCTTATTGCAAATATCATTTTCTTTCAAAGGGGTGGTTTTGTTCACCCTGTCAACATAACTTTCGAGGATTTTCTTTTGTTCGGCAGACATCTGGTATGTAGTCTTCCAATTCTTTAAAAAGAACATGCCACTGACGAAGGAGCGCCGAGAATTAGATAATTGAAGCTTACGGATATCTGCCAATTTAACGGGTTGATTGGTGCATCTGTATTGAAGGTCACTCCAGAAAATTTGAATATCTGCAGGTGTGCAAATGGAGTATGTACGGATAATTACTTGGTCTGGGTGCAAGACGTCACGCATTGGCACTTCTGAATTGAGGGTGCAGACTTTTGTAGTATCAACAGTCCAGTTCGAAAAATAATTATCGAGTGAGGTTGTGCCACGAATACCACGTTCGATAATCTCGAAGCCTTCAAGTACATCTAGGACTATGCGTAGACGACGTAATAGCCTAGTTTTTCTGCTAAACAAGATATCTTGGATATTAATCGGAAGCTGGGAAAGGATGATTTCGTAATTGCTAGGCAATCCATTGGCAAATTCTTGGATTTCAGTTGACTCAAAGAAGATACCAATTATTTTAAGGTACTCTCCAAATGTCAAATTTTGTATAATCCTAACAATAGGAATCTGACGAGTCTCAGGGTCGACGTCTGATACGTTTCTGCTTAGTAAATTGTTTAAATATTGATGCAACCTTTTGGCTCGTATAAATTTCGAAGAAATGAACCCATATTTAAGGCCAATAAGAAGTTTGCTAGGTCCGCATTTC